ATTGGTACACGTGGTGATGTGTGGTGTACAGGACTCCGATCTGATCAGCCCATACAAAAACAGCTACGCGTCCATCATAAGTTGAAATCATGGCCCCCTTGGAAAAGTATGAAAAGATATAACCAGAAAACAACAAATATAACAGCATATACTCACCCCCTTCTTAGTAGTGGTACACATGGTGATGCGTTGTGTACAAAACCTCCGTCTTGATCAGCCCATCCGTCAGCAGCTTTGCCACCCGGTTGCGCGCTGGTGTGAACAGCTCCCCGATCTCTGCTTCCGAGCCGTTGCCACGATAACCCGCGTGCCACGCCAGAATGGTTTGGTAGGTCTGCGCTGCTTGCGACAGCTCATGGGCTCTATTCCCGGTGTCAAGAAACGCGCCCTGGTGGCCCCAGAGCAGAAACAGCGCGAAGAATATGCACACGGCCATCAGAAGGCCCCCGAAGAGCGACATCATGAACCCTGGGAGATCAAACTGGCTGATCTCGTCCGCTTTCTCGACCGCGGTGTTCCGGGACTTTTGCGCGCCGACCGCGAGAAGCACCAGAAAGATGAGAATCAGCACCGCCCAGAAAGGCAACCATTTGCTGAGCGTTGAGACGTGCTTCCGGCGCAAATGCGCTGCATAGTTGGCCGCGCCGACCTCAGCGATCGTCGGCAGCGCGCCGAGGAAAGCCCCCTGGACTTCCACGCCGGTGACTGGGTGCGCTAGAGTGTGCAGGTCAAATGGCGTGTCTGGCAGCTGTTTTTGCGAGGGACCCGCTGACGGAAGGGTGACGCCATTTGGGTTGATTGGGATTACAACTGGAGGGGGGTTGTTGTTGGAGTGCATTCCGCCCCCCTGCATTGCTGTTAGGTACTATGGCGTCCGTAGGAATGTGGGAGAGAACAAAGTCTGTTTGAGGGAGGGATGGGGTTGAGCTGGGCACAGATTTGAAGCTAGCTGCTTCTAGCAATGTACGATCAAATAGACAGATGATTGTTGAAGGTAAGTAACCCTGATTCAGCACAAAGATAAAGGACTAGCTAGGGTACTTTTAATTGTCCAGATGAAGATGGTGAGACGCAGCTCAGAAAAGGCAGAGGAAGCGAAGTGGCTTGCAAAAGACATACCAAGCTGAGACTAGAGTCCGGTAAGCGGAAAGCTGCTTTCAGGTTTGGAAGACCTTAGGCTTTGGCGCCTTTTCGCTTGAAGCGGAATTGCACACAGCAAACAGATGATGGACCGACCAGCGTTCAGAGAGCAGCGTGTGCACTGTGGAGTGTGAACTCTTGAGTCTTGGGAGACTGGCAACTGCACTTTGCACTTTTGCCAGCCTGGGATGCTGCTGTTGTCACCTTGACTCTTGAGCTCCAGCCTGCTGCCTTGACTCGAGCCACAAACTTAGAACTACAGTCGATATCAGAGGCCACTTAGGTTCGCCTGGGGTAGGTACCGAACGTACTTGTTTGATCGAACGCGAATCTGTGACGTACCAGTACCTACTTACCTATTACCGTACCAATTGTCCGGTTGGGCAAATTTTTGCCCAATAATTAATTTCGTATCTCAGGGATTTTGGGCAGCTTCATTTATGCAATTATTTTGTTTTTTTACGGGGCAAAATGATCTGCAAATCCTTAATTGGAATTTATTTTCAATTCAGATTTTTGGGCAAGTCAAAATATATTTAATTGTTGCCCAGCCGGACAATTGGTACGGTAGGTACCGTAGTCCAACACTCCGATAACTCTAGTCTGACCTAAGTCCAACGTGATGATTCCGAACGATTTTATTTCGAATTATTTTCCAACAATCCGACCTAGAAAGCGGAAATATTTATGCAGATTCCGACAACAATCCGGATGCCCTATGTTCCCAGTAAGAATGGGATTTGAAGGCTGATTTTGGCCGTTTTGGGGCTTCTAAGGACCATTCTAAGATTAATTAAACTTTCCTAATTTCCACTTTCCGAATGCGAAATCCGAATTTCTGACTTTCCGAATGCAGATAATTATTTATTTATTCGGAATCATTACCTTGGACTACGGGTATGCGGCGTACGCAACCTGCGGAGTCAAAAGCTGGACTATCTGTGTAGTAAGTACCTACCGAACGAGGTTGTAGTGCCCGGTTCTAACCATGCATGGTCGCCTCCAATTTAAAGACGGGGCGCGTAACCAGCGACAGAGAGAGTATAACTGTCTGCAACCTTGTCGCTCTGCTGGACGGCGCTCCCCCTAAACCCGGCGCATGTAAAGAGAGACTGGAGATGTTTGCGGTACCCTACGGTACCTTTTGAGGTACGGTACCTTAGCTGTAATTCAAGTCCATCACGATTTAGGTATTACGTGTTAGTTACCGGTACAATCGGGCATGGCAACATAAAGCAATGATTTGAAAAGATTTCTCGGAAGGGGCCCGCCCTTCTTCACACTATCCTGAAAGTTCCGAGTCTCCGACTCTCCGACCATTCTTTCTACAGTTTTTACAAACCCACTTTTACAAACCCACTTTAAAAACACATTTCTCTTGCCAAACTTTGTGTTGTTAGGGTATGGTTAGGGGAAGGTCACTTTGAAGTGGTACCCCCCCTTATTATTTGTAGAGGGTTTTTGCCGGGAGCACTGGGTCCCCCCCCATACCCACGGCCCTAGTGGAACTGGAGCCTCGGGCCCCCCTCCCATGTATTTTTCCTGGATCAGGGCCCTGGGTAGCCCCCCCATATTTGTGTGTGGGAGAAGCCAAATAGGATTGATAAGTCGCTTATGCGGGCCATATGAACCCATTTTCTTTGCAAATTTGCGTTGAAGATCTTCGTATGGGGCAATTTATAAAGCCTTTTTGACGAATATTAGTCGATAAAACCTTGATTTCGCCTCAAAATCACATGAAAATCGGGACCGGGCTCCATGCTCCCCCCCCTTGAGCTACCTGAAAGGCCAAGCTCGTTAGGCTGCCCCCCCATCAAGCCCGCCTGTGAGCAAAGTGTGGGTGCGTCCCCCCCCCCACTAGGGGCCCCGAGCCGCGCTCGGAGCCCTAGGCTCCCCCCCCTCACAAATAATTAGGGGGGGTACCACTTCAAAATGACCTTCCCCTTAACTTTATTATTATTAAGTACCCGTACGACCAAGGTATGATTCCGAATAAATAAATAATTATTTGCATTCGGAAACTTGGAAACTCCGGATAAGCAGTCGGATTCTGCTTTTTCGGAAACCAGAAATAAAGGCTAAATCTCATTCGGAGAGTGACTTCTAAGGCCGTATGAATATACGGTACGTACCGTTTACCATTAAAGGCGTAGGAATATGGGTACCTAGGTACCTCCTGGCAATTCGGATTTGGGGTCGGAAAGTGGAAAATAATACATCATTTGGGCTCGCATTCGCTAAAATAATTGCCTTTTTTTAGCATTCGGAATCATACCTTGGTCGTACGGGTAAGTTTCCTCTTGACATTCTAGAACTGGAGAGCAACCAGAGATCCACATGTCATGTGAATCGTTTCCATGTATGCCCGCCGATTGGCAGCATGTTCACATGTGTTTTGTCGTTTCCGTCAAACATTAAATACTTCATCCGCACATGATAACGATCTTTTAACTGCGCCAAGAATCGACGGTCTACCGAGGCAAGTCGTCGGACACTCCCCTTAGATTCCTACATCTCTGGAGTGGCCAGTACTCTTGAGTCTTGGCCACAAATACAAGGCGCAGATTTTCATGGGGCAGGCCCGCAGGTACTGTACAGTGTATAGGTAGATCAGTATGCAAAATCCAAAGGTACGTACCATCCGAGATTAGACCCTGAACGGTACATCAACGGTACTTTACCTTCCTGTAGTTTTGCTCGTCAATGTAGTCTGGTAACTAAAGAGTGACTTAACAGCTGGGTGACTTAAAATAGGCACCCGGGGGACGGGTGGGGTTAGCATGGTGGTTAGGGTGGGTTCGGGTGCGGAGCGGGTGATTATCTGGGTTAGGTTTTTTAGTTTGTTTGGTCGGGGATTGTGAGTCTTAAGTCACTCACCCGTTAAGTCACCCCGGAGTTACCAGTATCGTCAATGTCTGTACCCAAGGTTTTACCGGTGCCTTCAATACCGGTACCTTCAAATACCTGGGTACCTGCCAGTGCTATCTAGGTCCGAAAAATGTAAGTGGACTCCTCCTGATTCTGTCGAATTAGGGCGCGCGCCTGCAATCCGGAAGGAGGACCGGCAGTGCAAATGAGTAGGAGTAATACCCTAGTCCAATGATGATCGCCTTCCTCTGCAATCTTTCCTAGGCTAGGCGCTCTGCCTCTCTCTTTCTGTCTTCAATGCCTCTTCACACGTTTCTTGTCTCTAGACCCTCTCTTTACCTGAAGTAGGTACCTGATTTTACCAGCCTGAAGCTGTGAAGAAAGTCATCGAAAGTGCAGAAAATAAAGGCGGCTCGTTCGGCAAACCCTCTGTTACCTGCAGAAGGGAGGGAAGCTAGCAGAGGCTCAGAAAAGCTCCCAGACAGTGGCCTGACCGGAGCTGACCCTCTAAGCAGTGCAACAGAAGTACGCGCAGCTAGTTTCTCTCTTAGCTACACATAAAACGCCCTTCGCAAAGCACAACAGCTGAAACGGCCGGAGCTCAAACTTCAGGCTGTCACTTGAGAATTCGTCACAGCTTCAGGTTTTTAAATTCTGAAAAAAGTTATTCTTATGGCAGAACCCATCATGAGGCGACCACGCGATCTGGCTTCTGCAAAGCCGCATAGCCAGCGACATTGGCAGCCAGGAAGACTTCACATGAGCGATAGTCGGGGTCGTGTTTCTCTTCTTGCCGCGCTACTGATTGCTGTCTGCATCTTTTTAGAACTTGCAGTGCCGGTGAGTCCAACACAGCCACCTAATATGCAGTTCTTTATGATTTGTTGCCATTAAGGACCTTAGGGAACATATACACTCTCTGTGGTGATTTCCAGAGTGCCTTCTCCAAGAAGCTATTTCAATGTTTGTTACAGACCCTTGCGCGGCCGCTCAATCAAGGATTTTGTAGTCAAAAGTCGTTCCTGTAACCATCCATGAATGCTTTTTACAAAAATCTACTTTGTCTCTTGTAACAGACCCTTGCGCGGCCGCTCAATGGGACGGAAGACCTGCCATCAGCGCATGGGCTCAGCATGAACCTCCAAACAGGTATGCCCTCCTCTGAGCAGCGGACCCACCAGAGGTGTCTTTCAACTTGAGAAAGGTACCCGCGTATACTTCAGCTGCGCTTCTGACCTTTGGTACCAGTCCAAGAAGGTTGCATTCAGCCGTGTCGGTTGTCAGAGTGGATCCGCTGACATCAGCGGGCGGCAAAAGGGCAAGAAAGAGAAGCTAGAGTAAGAAGTGGATGAGGAGAAAGTGTTGGCGTCCCCTCTGGGTGAGGCCCCTCTCTGCAACTTCACAAGGTGCCCAAGGGTGCACTCCACAGCAGTCTTTGTCACCTGGGCGACCAACACAGGGGAAGCAAGGGTAATAGGTCGCCGAGAAGTGCACCCAAATTGAAGGAGCTAAAAACGTGCATCCTGTAGATGGCACGGAGCCGGCAGTGCATATTGAGAGCCTTGCTCGAGGCTGCCACCAGCTTATGCCGTTTAGATGCTCTTTGCGGGTTTTTTCTTCGCTTTTCCTTCCTTCCCTGCGTTCTCTGGATATGCGTTCTCTGATCTGTCTTCGGCTAGCTTCCATTCCGCTCTTCTTCTACTTCCATCTACGGTTCTTAGCTACCTATTATTCGGAGAATCGGTTTTATTCGCTCCCCACCTTAAGCCGAATCGACCTGATTCTCACTTCAGCTCGCGTTCCCCTTTTCGTTATCCCATTTGCCCGATCCCTGTGATACTTAAAGTTTGCTCCTCATGAGCCCAAAGTTTTGTTTCTGTTTCGTCTTAACTGTAAGAGCCGCTCTGCTAAATTAAGTCCCGAATCTTATTCAATGCACTCTCCACCTAATTGATTCGTACCATTCAGAGCTGCAAGTGAGCTTGCATGAAGAGTTTCAACGAGGTTCTGAGTTTCAAAGGTCTCGTTTCTGAAGAATTTGAAGTCCTCGGTACTTTACTGGCAGGGCCTCGTGTCTGAGAGTGTAGAAGTGCAAATATCATTACCTGTTATTCTTACATGCAGATTTATACAAAGATTGGGTCCGGAAGTTCATAAATGCGGTTTTACGAAAGCAAACGACCTTCACCCTTTGCAGGAAGGAAGCTGCTCGCTGTCGGCACGTGCACGATCGTCTCGACCGATAAGCGGTTCACCGCTTATACCTGCGGCTCGGGCGCTTATGCCGACCGCCCATACGCCGCCTGTTGCATCAGCCCCACTAGTTGCCTGAGCGCGCGCATCGCTCCGCGCTCCGACTGTTCCGCCAACGGAATCTTCACCAGCCCCTCGTGCTGCTATGATACGAGCAGCCGCTCGCCGCCCGCTTATAATACGAGGAGTTCCAGTTCCGGAGACAGTCCGTCTTCCCCAGAAAGGAAGTTGTTGGTAGCGGGGATTGTTGCTGCCGTTATTGGAATCGTGGTACTCAGTTGTTTGGGGTTCCTCCTGTGTTGCCTCGTGAAGAAGAGGACGAAGGAAGTGGAGAAGGACCGCCGGAATTCCGCTTACGTTCCGGCGGATCGGCCGGTGCCAGCACACCCGGCTTCCAGTGGTGAGCAGAAAACGTTCCTCCGTTCTTTCGTCTCCTTTTGCTACAGAATGGGTTCGCTAGAACGGACCAGAAGGTCCCGCTGTGTATTCAGGAGCGTCGTGAGTGAGTACGCCGGGAACGGCCAAGCTCGCGTCCCGAGAAGCGCTTAATCGGTTCTGGCTATTGTTGATAAATTGGCTTTCTGGGTTTTTCAGCGAAATTGGAATGACATCAGGACATCCTGAAATTCCTGCGTCCTTTTGGATTCTCAAAACTTTCCACCCAAAAGCATACACCAGTCGTTTGTTTACGTAACAATCTCACAGGAAAGAAACCCTCATTCAAGGTTACAGATAGAAAAGACGAGCCTTTCGGAACGTACGCCTGGGCTGGCTCGCCCGATAGGTCTTTTCCCCCCGTACGTCTACTGCTTCTAGAAGTCACAGGAAGGGGATGCAAACCGGAAAAGGTTCGGCCTATCATGCCTTTCGCCTACAAACCCTGACCTTCTTTGCAAATGCCTACAAAACATGATTCTCGTCTCCTTTGCTACTAGGAATCACAGAAGCGGAACGAAGCAGAGTAGATTGAGCCAAAGCCGCCCGATCCAACCTCTACTCCCCGCTTGCGAGCGCTCAACGACTCCTTGTTCTTTCCTCCTGTCCTTCTAGGTACCTCAGGGCGGGACGCCTCGAATTCACAACCTGCTGAGCGCTTGCAGCCCAAATACATGCAACTCTAGTCCGTTAACGATAAACGAAAGCCTGGTTTAAGATCGTTGCGAGGACATTTTGATCTTGAAATCATGAAGCTTTTTTGGCTATTTTGGTCTTAAAAATTGGGACAGACCGTTTCGATCTTAAAAGCTGAGTTTTTGAGATCAAAACGGCCTCAGCATACGATCCTAAACCGCGAAACGATTTATTCTCGTTGCGAGCGCCCAACAAATCCCAAGAGTTCGTCTCCTTTCATCAGGTAGCACATGGAGGCGGTCGAACAATTTGGCTCGTCGACCTCTCAGTGCCGCCAGCCTGAAAGCCCTATTCCCCTTTGCGAGGACCCAGCAAAGTTCTCACCTTTGTTTTCTTCGCTTCTAGGTGTTACAGGGACGGAAGGCTAGCCGCAATACGTCGATCCAGTTCTGCCCGGCCGGTTACAGACCCTACTCCGGACTGCATGAGCGCCCACCAAAAAGTATTCGTCCCATCTTGGTTCCTTTCCAATATCCCGAAATTCGCAAATAAACCTTTCGTTTCTTCGCTTGCACTAGGTAACACGGGACCTAGAGGCCAACCGCAATGCGTTGATGCCATTCCGTCCGGTTACAGACCCCACTCAGGACCGCAAGCGCCCGCAAAGCTCTTGCCCGTTTCTTTTCCTTTTTGGCACCATCTTACTGGAAAAGTTCGGCCTTTGACGGCAGCCAACAGGCTCCGAACCCTTCTTGACGCGCCCAACAAGGTTCTTACTCTCAAATTTGTTTTTTTCGCTCCTGGCCGTTACGGGAACTGGAGCTAGGTCGACGCAGTCATATCTCGCGATGTCATGAAGGGGTAAGCGCCATGAAGGGCAACAGCAACACTTAAATAAAAACCTAAAACAATGGTTTACAGGCTCCGCACCCGTACCCTCCCTAACCCCCTGACCAACCCCACCCGTCCCTGGGTTACCCTTCATGGCGCTTACCCTTCATAAATTCGATTGGAAATGTCGCAGTCCACTTCGGATGAAGACGCTACTCAGCATCGAAGGCGTCCAACAGTTTCATCTCATCTCCTTTCCTTTTCGGTATCATACAAGCCGCAAATACACCTTTCTTATTAAAGGTACCACAGGGTCCACCGCAATACGCCGATGCAGTTCCGCCCGGTTACAGACCCTACTCCGGCCCGCAAGCTTCCAGCGGAAAACGAGTCTTTCGCTTTTCGTTTTTACAGGACAAGAACCGCGACCCCAGAAAACTCTGGCCTACGTGTCTGATTCTCTATGCAAGCGCCCAACAATATTCTCACCTTAGATTTCTCTACTATGTGATTCCAGGTAACACAGGGCCGGGAGTTCAACTGCAGCACGTCGATCAAGTGCCCCCCGGTTCCAGACCCTACTCCGGGCCGCAAGCGCTCCCCCCGCATCCGCCGGTCTACCAAGCTCAGTCGTACGGACAGCCAGCTCAGTCGTTCCCGCAGTCCTGACCCACTTCCGGGTTATGCGCTAACCAGCACTTTCACAGCGTAGAGGCCTGACCCCGCTTCCGGAATACGTGCTAACCAGAACCTTTCGTCAATAAGGAGTCAGCTTGTAGAAGCCACGGTGTTGACTCTGTAGTTCGAGCAACAGTTTTGGACAGTGCTAATCGAACAAATGAATTGTCGAGGATCTGGTACAGTAGAGCTCAGAGCAGGTTAAGAAACTTCCAGGGTACGTGGGGAAAATCACAGGAGATTGGTTATTTTCGGTAACCATGACATCATGCTCCCCGCCTCATCCGGTCCCAATGACGTGTCCTTCTGAAGATATCTGCGTTGTTACGAGCCGTTCATACGTCCAAAGCTGAATGATAAGTTAGTCTCCTCGTGCACTCGGTTCGCTCATCATAATTGGGTGTAGTCACAGTCAAACTTACGAGGCTAGGATACTCGTAGCATGAAAGGACGGCTGCATCGAGAAGATAGCATGCCTTCAAAGGATCCCTGCCTTGATCAAGCAATTGGCGCGGCGCGGTCGCGGTCGCGCCGCGATGTTGCATGCATAGCTCTGGGATCGCCTAGCTTACCCTATTTATGTCATTCGTGGTGTGATGCTGACGGTCGGTTCAGTCGGCTTAGCTCCGACGATCGCCTCCATGATGAACCATTAATGCGCCCTATGAACTGAGATCACCAATTTTAACTGCTTCGTGAAGACAGGGCGGCCGCCGATGACACCATCGTTTCAAGTTTCCAAGTTGAGCGCCAGCTAGCTGCTCCATATGCAGAAATTATGTTGAATATGCCGCCGGGCGCCGAAAGCTACTAGTGATGAGCCGGTTACTGAGATTTCATATTTGATAGAGAGTGCAGATTTGGACTCACTGGACTATATATTACTAGACCGGCGAGCTTTGAGTACGCATGGATTATATCCACACTATACTAAGTGCGAGCATATTGTGTTGATTGATAAGGTTGTCCAATCCAGATGCACGCATGACATTTATATGCATGACACACGTACCGTCACGCCTGATTGAGCCAAGTTGATTGAGCATATGATGGGACTGTTAGATTCTCTCTTTAATCAAATCCAGAGGCCTGTAGAAAGCAGTCACTAAAGCTAGCTCTATCTTGATTAAAAACCAATCCTGCAAAAGTTTGCACTCCACAATGTGCATATACGTCGACTCAAATGTCTCCTGACTACTTCTGCCTTGTCCAAGCTCTTTCGAGCCTATGGTATCTGCTACCGCAGACCTACGGTTTTCGACGTACCGCTCAACGAAACAGGTCTGCCAAAAGTGTGGAGTTCCGACATTAGGACGAATGACGTACGAATGACGAACGCTGCTAGTATTTAACTGACCTTACGGCTCTCCTCCGCAGTCACTTTCGACCGCACCTGCCGCTTTGTTAGGCTGCCCTTTGACTGCAGGCTTCCGTCAGTTTGTACCGTCAGTTTGTATACAAAACGGAGTAAATTCCAAAAATGAAGACCCAAAAGTTCTGCCCAAAAATCGGCGCCGGATGATTCGCCAGAAAGACGTTTTTTTACGGGCCACGATCTATGTTAGGTCGTTCGTCTGATGGTCACCCCACCCAAAAGCACGCGGAATAATGCACGGATGGCACTTTCAAGCAACCCAAATCCTCGTCAACCTTCTCTAACGAGACTCGAAAGACTGTCGCTTCTCCTGCATGGTAAGCTCCCCGGATTCGACCTCCTTTCGAGGTCTTTCTACTCGAGCCCCCATGACCATTTCAATTCCTCCGATTCCGTTAACCACAGTCCTAAAAGTACAGTCGACCCTTGAAAGCAAAACGTATAAAGGCCCTAGATGTCAAAGTCCTGACCTCCAACAAAACCCTACGTCTGTGAGTCTTCAGTTCCCAAATGCTTTTGCAACCAAACCCACAAACCTCCAAACTCCTGAACCTCAGACCCCCGCGCACACGAGCTCGCCGTCCGCCGCGTGGCGGCACGCGAAGCCGCTGACGCTCAGGGTTTGCGCGTCGGCGCTCAGCATCTTGCGCGACACGGCCGCGTCGCGCGAGCCCGGTTGGTCCGTACCGGGCGCTTCGAAGGTACGCACGTACTGGGCAAATTTGCAGTCGGGTGAAGTCAGGTCGGATGTCTGGTAGTCGGGGTACGTACCGTCGACGATGCCTTTGCCGTTTTTGCCCACGTGGCCTGCCAGGGCCTGCGCGGAGAAAGGCGCCACGTGGGCAGAATCAGCTGGGTGAGCGAACTAAACTGCCAAGAGCCGAAAAGCGCATGAAAGTCAGAGGACCTTTGTTTCCAGGCGCTTTTCTCCTTTTCTGCTAAACGTGCAGTTTTCGCGTCGAGTGCGCTGATTGCGACAGACAGAACTGCAAGGAACGACCTTCAAGTTCGTCAAACAAATAAAGGTAGACATCTTTAGACGGACCGCGAAGTGAGCGCAATTGAGGTGGCCGGAAATAGGAAGTCAAGCTGATAAGAAGAAACGCGAACTGGATGACATCTCTGGTCGAAGGTGTCGATCTTTGGCTAAGCTGAAACGTCGGAATCGAGTAGGAGTTGCGCCACACTTTGAAACGAAATCCTGAGATCTTCGAATTTGGACGCCTTTGCATCCTCACTTTCGGACGACCCTCCTTTCTTGCACGCGCCAGGCTTCAAGGTTGTTCTTTTCCGGACGTCCAAAGCTGGTGCAGTGCAACAGACTCCGTGCACCGACTATGTCATTGAAAACCGAAGACGGAGACACGTGCGAGGTCTTGGCGTTCGTTCCTGGCTGTTGGGTCCCGCATCAACTCCGCAAGAAAATGCGGGTTTAAGAAGTTCCGAATGGGGGAAGAAACCTGAAATGTACCTCGAATTGCTGCGGTTTGCCGCTCTGAAACATCTGTCCCAGGACTCCGTGCACTGATGGCGTCATGCGCAGGTTGTTGATCGCAAAGTCGAGATGGAGGCCGTCAGGGAAGCTGCCAGTGTGTTTCACGGCCTGCGCGGGGTTTAGATTTGGGGTTAGGTAGGGTTTCATCGAGGAATTAAGCAGGCTTTATCTTGGGTTAAGCAGGGTTTGCAAGCGGGTTAAGCACGATGCATCTAGTTGAAATTGGGCGAGCTAGATGAAGACCGTCGGGGAAGCGGTGGGACGCGACCTGCACGGGGTTCGGTCTCGGGGTTAAGCAGGATTTAAGTTTGGGGTTATCAGGCTTTCTCCAGAGATAGGCAGGGAAAATTGCGGTGGCCAATGGTCAAGCAGCATTATATGGTGCCTCGATTTGGGTGGAAGCGGAAACCGACGTCGGGAAAGCGGTGCGACGCGGGTTTGTTCTTGGGTTACCAGAGCTCCCTTCAAATCTAGCTGGTTATGAAGAAGAAAGATTTAACGTAAATACCGACTCAAATTCAATCCCTTCTTCCAAGCCTGACCTTCCTTCGACAGGAAATGAGAAAGGGCGAAGGCCGTCAAGTCATTGTCGTGGAGCGCCCTACGAACACACTGTTTTTCGGGCTTAAGCAGCGTGCGGGTTGCAAAAACGGGGAAACAAAAAGAAAAAGAAAGAAGAAAAAACTGTGGTTTGGATCAAATTGCATTTTCAATGAATGGACTCAATGGCGAGGAGAGGACGAAAGCATTCTAGCTGACTATTGTTAACACGAGACGTCTGGAAGATCCGATCCGGGGACTGTTCGACTCGATTACACGCAGTCTATTTCGAAGTTGAGCAGGCATGTGAGTTTCGAGTGAGGATTCAAAAAGGTCTCGTCTTTTTCTGTGGCAATCAACCCGAGACTTCATTCCAATCATAACGCTGAACACCCCAAGACTTAGGAGTGACTATCAATGCATGCATAAACAAGACGCGACAGAAAGACAGGAAGAAGAAAAGCCGGAGGAAACGTTTTTAAAAAACCTCACCTTGATTTCCATCTCCACTACGCCCGAGATGTTGACACGCACGCCGTCCCTCGCGGCTGACGTCATCAGACGCTCCAGCACGCAGGAGCCGTCCGATGTGCGCCACGTGTCATCTCCAGAGCCCGCGAGCTCGTGGGAAAGGATTGGCTCCGAATCGAAAGCGATTGTGAGGTTGCTGGCGAGAGACGCGTCGGGCCTATCAGCGAGTGCCACGTGGACGGTGTGTTCGGTCCGCCCGTCTTCGGAAGTGTAGATGAAAAAGAAGGAGTCCATCCTGGTTCCCTTGAAGCGGCCGTCTTCCGTTACCTGCGGGCGGAACAGCGAATTTGGATTTTGTCCAAAAAAGCGAAGGAATGTTTTGGTTGACACTGGCAGGTATGAACCGATTCAAACGAAGCTTTAGAAGCCCAGAACGGCGAGGCTTCTGCTGGACATCAAGGAAGAACCAGTGACCGCTGCACTGCAAAGGTGGAAGAAATAGCGCTTGAGCAACGAAGCAGCGAAAGGCATTCAGCACATTCCTCACAGCCGAGCGCAAACTCGTCTTAGCTTATGTCTGTGAAACCTGCCAAACTGCGTTTGCATGATGACGGAAATAACATGCCACAAAAGTACCAAGAAAGGTCAAAGTTTTTCACCAGTCCGAAAAAGTGACTGTTCATGTGGAAGCGAGTGTCGGAGATAAGGCAGAAGTGCTTATCCTGCAAAGGAGAATGAGCAAATTTTGAGACACGTGGCAGATTATCATTGGGTCAGCCAGTGGCCCGTGCCAGACACATTACATTATTAGCTTTTCCTCGTCAATGATTCTGATGACACGTGGCTAGCTTTCTGTTTGCAAATGGTGGAACCATTGTATGACCTGGTTCACATTGGAGTTGCCAAATTGTCATAACTTAGATCACAGCCTGATCGGAAGCATATCGTGCATTCTTCGACCCCCAACTCGATCGAAGATTAGGGCAGGACTAGAACAAGTCCTTCTTGTTCAGAAAGAAGTCAACCCATCAACCTAGATAGAAAGGGTCTGGACTGGGACACTCGAGATGATAAGGACAATCAGACAGAATTCAGGATCGGAGTGCTTCAAGTGATCCAAGGCCTGTGAACAGAACTTTTGCGGAGGAGTTTGACTTGGCTCGGGCACGATTAACCGCCTGAACATTGTGAGTGGCCCTTGTGTTCATAAGGAAGTTGCGAAATTAAGGTCTTATGTATTCCTAACATAAAGCGTGACGTTTCACTTAGGGGCGGGGTGAAACGGAGGCGTTGATAAGACGGGATCTTAAGAGGGGGTTTCACAAGGGCCGTGGGGAAAAGCGGGGGTTCAACGAGAGTACACTCAAAGGTAAGGTGTAGGCAGCGAGGATTTTGCTGTTCCAGCTCACCCTGGTCATCACAGAAAACTGAAAAGCTCAAACGCTGCTAGAAGGGAGCCTTCGTCAGACGTCCTGACCCATGACATGAACGAAAAGGACTTGTTCTTTGAAAGCAGGAGAGAAGAGAGAGTAGAATGCATGGATTTGAAGAAAGTGTTTCTGGAGAGATCATGGGCCCTGAGAGCGAATTGGACTAGCTCTGCAGGTGCCCTAGTGAATGTGGGGTTGAGCTGGATCAGCTATTGCAGGAAAAATTGTTTGCTCACCTGTTCTCCGTGGAAGTAATAATTGATTCCTTCAGGTCCCTCAAAACGTGGGTCCTACATAATGCGCATAAGGGGACGGTTGAGAAACGTTTGATACGCAATGTTCTTCCAACCAGGACTACGATTGAAACGTTCTGGGACCGGAACGACTTTTTAAAAGTAGGGAAGCGCTTGCGGAAAATCTCGAATGCAAAAGATCGATTCAGTAGGCAACAGAATGTGAAACACCGGGGAACGTTAGAGTGCTTCCAAAGACGAAGGGGTGCCAGCTGTCAGAGTCCCTTCAAAGTCATCTACATTGAAATACATCTGACATGTTCTCATGTTGCGGCAATTCAGTAACTTTGGGAAGACTCAAACAACACAACGTTGCAACAGAGGCAATCAGTACAGGGTGCACCTTGAAAGGTGCAAAACGTGAAGTGTCCTCTGACAGTGAGCTTACCCCACGGCCTCCCGGAGCCTTTGTGGGGCGGGGCATGCACGTGCACCTTACACGTGCCGTAAGGCCCCCCGCGACATACTCTAAATTGGCGTTGCTGCAGGACGTAGTGCACGTGCCTCTCTCGCACGAGGCGACGCCTGCGGACGTCAGCAGAATGTGGTCGGTGACGTCAGCAAAGGGGCACATCCGCATCAGAGAACGGTCGGTGACATCAGAAGCAGGCGGATGGGGAGTCAGCAGAGAGTGCACACTGGTGCAGTCAGCAGAACTGATCAGCCGCGTCAGCAGAGGGCGAATGCTGACGTCAGTAGGCGGTTACATTGTTTCAGCACAGCTTCTTGACACCAAAGGTTACCCAGTGCCCGATCAGGTTCCGGACCCTTATAAAGTCGCACAGGCTTCTAGTGTCAGAGCCGCAGCTTTATACAGCAAACAGCCTCGCAAGCAGACTTGACACCAGTTGACAAAAAGTTGGAATTTACCAAAGGTTGCGGTGATGCGCACACTGACCGTCCCAGTGTCGGAACAGGCATACATACAGAAATAGCCCCGTACGCAGACTTGACACCAGTTAATGCACGGAGAGGAAGCGTTCTGTCTGATGTTGATCTGAAACTTATCTGAACCCCTTGCGCCATGTCTAGACTTGGTCTGCAGCTCGCAGACGGAATCCAGACATCTCCGACCAGTCTGAAGTATGTTTGAAACTCTCTGTCTTCAAATCGTTCCTCGGACAAGCGTGCTTTGACCAAAAGGTAACACCGGAGCTGCGGGCCCTTACCATCAGCTGATTGCAGTTTAGCCGCATCGAACTGGCCGGTGTCTGAGCACTCAACGGGTGAGCCGGCCGGCTCCGCCCGCTGGAAGCATGCCCTGCAACTCCCCAGAGCTGGCTGCGGAGCTGCAATAGCCTCATGTACAAATTCAGCGCAGAGAAGCAGCACCAGAGCGGGCGGCCCGCAGCGCGAGCCTGCTGACGTCAGACTGACGCTTGTTGGGAGCCATTACGTAATACTGGTTGCTGGCAGGGAGCAGAGGCGCAGTATGAGAGATCAGAAGCTCAATGATGTGGTGGCGTTGGAATTTGAGCTGCGGTGTGCGAGGTGCTCGGAATGTGAAGCTTGGAAATTGGAGATGCTATGAATGAAAGCTGGCTCAAGAGAAGCACGTTATATAAGCGACTCAGAACGTGATCAGCAATATTGGAATCAAATGGGCTGGCCGGAGCGGAATTGAACAGCTTCGCTGATATCAAGCTGCGAGTACGCGGTCCCGACGTCCGCGGTACGATCGAGCGGAAGCCGCCTGCTACTGAGCTGATTAACACAGGCTGACTCACAACGAGTGACTCTAGTCTGCCAAAGCGAAGCTGGAAAGGATGAGCTGTCATGGCTTGCTTGTCATACTGTGAGACAGCTCAGTGTAACAGCTGTGACAGCAATTGCTTAATTCTTCAGCAATCGCTTCAAACTTTGCCGTTTCAGATGCACACTTGCCGACTCAATCCAACCACTCCGTAATCATTGAATCACGCCGAAGCAGTCGGACTTCCGTACAAGCGTTCAACGTCGAATTATCCGTACGATTTGTTGACTCTGACTCGCCTATCGAACTTCGACGACGTCAACGCACTGATTCAGCCTGATTGTGCATATGGACCGAACAGCTGCTGGGGTCCGGCGGACACCCCCCTCAAATCAGGCTGCGATGCCGGGGCGCCGGACCCCCCCGAGCAGGGTTCGTTGCGTGCGCTTGGCGGGCGGCTGGCGTGCAGTGATGCGGCAATGGCTCAGAGATTTTATTTTAGCGGGCGGCAGCTGCAAATTTGCAAGCCTGCCTCGCGTTTCCACTTTCCATGCATGCGGCGCGGGCAGGCCGGGTTGGCCCTCACTGAATTAATTGGGCGAACCAGCTAGCCCATTGAATACTTTCTGCACACTTTCTGGTGACCAGTGTCCAACCATAGCTTATAGCCTTGATACGCGGGCTTGCACAACAGAAGAGTTATCACTGACGTGGTACTTACTGGAGGCGACAGCTGCCAGCTTCACTGCCTGGCATGAACCAAATTAGCTAAAGTTGTCGCTGTCATGCGATACAGGCTCGGGATTTGATTGGGCTCGGTAACCAGAGCGGGCCGCGCCGGACATCTGCGACGTCGGCAAACGTACATGATGCGATGTGTCTTATATGCATGGAAATTATATGATTCATTCATTGTCGAGACTCTATACTACTCCTCAGTTCCTCTGGAATGACGCGCGCGTGCGTGCGCAAAGCGTCCGATTAAATATGCTAGTGCTTGCGCAAACAGCCCGGCACTCGAACTTTCCTATGTTGTACTCTTTTAAATCAATCGATGTCCAAAGTACAGAGCAAAAGCCTGGCGACGTGGCACTAAATGACAATGCTTATCGAATCTTCACTCCCGAATCTAAAGCAATCCAAGGCCACGCTTAGTGCATAATCAAAATCCCTGGGCAACTCACCGACTCTAGCTCTGGTTACAACACAAAGCTGCCGGCCGCAGCTACTCCTACTAACAAATGTGAGACTCCGTCAAAATGTGCACGGGGAGAGCTCTTCGATAGTCCTGAGTAGCATTAGTCGTGAAATTCACTCGCTCTGGATACTTCAAATTCAACGGGTTTCTAACCAGCCTACCGGTGGTTGATTTTGGCCAGAAGTCCTGTGTTGATGGATTGCAGATAAACTACTTAAAACGAGTCTCGCGATCTTCGCCAAGGAATCTGGCCATTCAGGAAGGGCCACGCATCGATGGGTTCTAGACGCGTGCCGGCCGCTTAGATGCTTTTTATATGTCGGTCGCAAAGCTTGTTAATCATGCCCAGTCCAGCTTTTGGAGTTCGGTCTGAGCGAGCTCGAGCTTTGTAGTATATTTACAGTGGATTTAATTCAAAACCAATCCACTAGTCTTCGAGCAGCAAAAGTAAGGCTGACTGATCACCAGCTTTGTTTCGAAAGCATGCAGTCCTAGTTGGCGCTTTAGCTCGTGCTGACGCCGTCCAGTCATGGCATAGCTAGTCGTCCTTTCCACGTGGACTGAGACGGACTTGATCGGTGGACTTAATCCTGAAGTGGCGCAATTTGAATTGCGTTCTCTCAGTCAAACAACCGGTTGTACAGCTACGACATGGTTTGTAAATGCATCCGTGTACAACCAGGGCCGGACTCCATATTCGTGTACTGTATATTGAGGTCTTCAGCACCTGTGTATAGAGCTGGTCGACCGTGTTCGAATTCTTACTTGTGTCGGAACACTTCTTGAGATACAACCTCATTTTGGATAGTCAACTGGACTTGGTGTCTTGGTGAATGACTGCATATTTGATCCGAGACGCAAATCTGTTCGAGGACAGGGATGAGCCAAGCGCATCAGAGATCAGATTGACTCTCTTAGCTTGGGCATACCTACTCCCAGCTTACACACCGCGGCCAGACACTCGTTGCACAGGATCATGCAGAAGGTGAAGATAGATATGCCAAATTTGCGCAACATATGATGCGAAATGCAATTTGGCAAACGCACCCGATTTTCTGATCTCGTACCGTAGTACATTTGTTTTAGTGTATAGCCCGGCCAGAGCTCAAAGAGAACTAGTGCACACCGATTCGTACTAGTGGACGGATTGATCGAATCGCGATGGCGACTGAGCAAAGCGCTTGTTCAATGATTTGAACAGCTAGCTAGCGCCCAAATGCATGATGGGCTAAGTGCTTATAATCAGTTGCGCATCATGCAGGAGACCGTAAGCTTCGAAAATGCTAATGGACTGCGATCGCCTGCCTATGCCTTTACACGGATCTACTACTGCTTCGAAGCGATCTGGAATGACGCGAGCTTTCCTTGGTCGTCGCAATCACTTGTGATCTTGTGGACTTTGGACTCTTAAGTTGGGTAATTTGAATGCCCATTCTTACGAACTTGGCAAAGAGACTGAGGACATACTCAATCAGGCTGATGAAATGCAAGACTCTTCTCAACGGCACCAGCGATCATGGCAATCCACAGTGACACAATATCTTCACAAGAGTAGCTCCGAGTCTGATCGACTCTGTATGATCCTCTCCACATTGCAGTTGTCCACTCTCAGATTAGAGACGCGAAATCAACAGCTTTTGGATTGTCCAAACGTACTATACTCTCGCTATCCCCTCGGCACCTAATTCAAGTCAATGGGCGGTATCGATCCTGGTAAAATCTGCTCTCGTAGCCAGAAAACCAGCGTTTATATGCGGTTTATATACTCTAAAGTTCTGACGTTTTGACGTACGTATGACGTTGTTATCGGACCCGCTATTCTACAAAGTGTTTTGACACGGCACTCCCCTGCGGTCATTTTCGACCGCACCTTCAAGTTGTGTAGTAGAGTAGTAGGCCGTTTGAACTGTCTGTTTTAGTTTACAAAAAGCACTAGCACTTGAACTTGGAGACTTCTAAGTTTGGGGCAAAAGGCGCCGCGACAAATGATTGCAGACGATTTGACTCACGTTAGGCACTCCAATCGGTTGCAACCAATCCCTCGTCAACCTTCTTGTGAGTTTGAATAGAATGTCATGGGTGCCGCAGTAGGCGAGTACCGTTCCCACCAGGCCGTCTTTCTCACTCAGTGCCCCTAAACTTCTAACGTCGCTAGGGCCCTATAACCCCGCTAAGGCCCTCCAAAGCCAAACCCGAAAGCTCTAAAGTCTCAGAGTCCCGAACCCCTAAAGCTCTACGTAATTAAAGTCCAAAGCTAGCTCCCAAACCCATCACGCCTACATCCCCAACATCCTGAGCACGCTCTAGTGTTACACCCCCGCGCACAGCAGCCCGCCGTTAGCCACATGGCGACACGCGAAGCCGCCGCTGACGCTCAGGGTTTGCGCGTCGGCGCTTTGCAGCTTGCGCGACGCGGCCGCGTTCCGAGAGCCTGGTTGGTCCGTACCGGGCGCTTCGAAGGTGCGGACGAACTGGGAGAACTTGCAGTCGGGGGAAGCCAGGTCAGACGTTTGGTAGTCCCGGTACGTACCGTCGACGATGCCCTCGCCGTTGTCGCCCACGTGGCCTGCGGACTGCGCGGAAAATAGCGCCACGTGGGCAGAGGTGGGTGGGCGAACTAAACTGGCAGCTAGCATCAAAAAGCTGAAAGCGTATGAAGCTTATTTAGAGGACCTTTCGAATACGGTCCTTCTCTTCTTTTCTACTCGACGTGTAATTTCGCACCGAGGGAGGTGCTTTACAAAGAAAACGTAGTACAAGGAAGGATACCTTCAAATTCGTGCTTCGAGCTGAAACGGACAGAAGTAGGACTCTTCAAGCGTTCAAAGTGAGCTCTAAGTGAGATGACCGATAGCTAAGTATCTAGGAGAAACGGCGATCGAGTGGATGCGTTCTCGATTGGAGGTGTGAATCAGCTTTCGCTAACCGTGAGACGTTGGTAACGAGTAGCGCCCGGCCATGTTTTGAAAGCTGCATACTCAGACCTTGAGGATCGGAATGGAGGACCTGAACTTAAACCCGAAATAAACCTCCGTTCACGCGTTTTGAGGCTCTTCTTTTTTGGAAGTCTAAAGCTGCGCAGCGCACTGACAACTCAAGCACATCTCGATGGAAGTGTGAGCATCTTTACCGCAGCGAATATGTCAGGATGTCGAGAACTGAGTGACGTCAGAAAGACGAGACGGAAACCCTCAATCGTATCGCCGCTCTGCTGTGTTAACTTGACGCCGCACTAATCATCGACGCAACTTGAAGATTGCCACGGCATCCCTCAATCGTGACAGAGAGACGCGTTTCGGATAGTACTGACTGGGAGCTACGAGCTCCAAAATATCATTTTGAGAACTTCTGAGTGTTGGGCGCCGGTCTTCAAAAGTTGTAGCTAAAAGTGCTGCGGCTTGCCGAAGTCTTCAGATCTGAGGCGAGACACTGTGCTGGATTCGGGATTGAGACTTACGATTCAAATCTCTGAAGATTATATGTACCCTTTTGGCTCAGCCGCCGTACCCGTTTTCAAATTGCTGGCGGCTTTGCCGCCTGAATTGAAGAGCTTCGCGCACTGATGGCGCAAAAGAATAGTGCAAAAAGAAGCAGAGACTGCGGGGATCTCTGATTGTCGGGTTCTACAATTTCAGAACCTGCGGGTTTCAAGGTTCCAGAATGTCGAAGTTTCGGGGTTTTGGACCGTACCTGGAACTGCTGCCGTTCGCCGACCTTAAACATCTGATAGGAGAATCTGTGCTATGTTCCGGGGTATGCGGAATTTGCATAGCATCTGGGATTTGAGGTTTTGAGTTAGCCGCGTACCTGGAATTGCTGAGGCTTGCCGCTCTTAAACATCTGGCCCAGGACTCCGTGCACTGATGACGTCATGCGCAGCGCGTTGATGGAGAAGTCGAGGTGGAGGCCGTCGGGGAAGCGGTGGGACGCGACCTGCACGGAAATTAGTTCCAGGGTCAAGCAGGGTTAAAGTGAGGGTTAAGCATGCTTCAACCGAGAGATAAGCAGGGTTTACTCCCGGGTTAAGCAGCAGACGTCTCCGGTTCAAAACGATCGAATGGAGGCCGTCGGGGAAGGCGGTGGAATGTGACCTGCGCGGGGTTGAGTTCCGGGGTAAAGCAGGGTTTTACGGAGGGTTAAGCGTGCTTTAACCGAGAGATAAGCAGGGTTTACTTCCGGGTTCAGCAGCGGACGTCTCCGGTTTAAATAGGTCGAAATGGAGGCGGTCGGGGAAACGGTGCGACGTGACCTGCGCGGGGTTGTTCCCGGGGTTAAGCAGGAGTAAAGCTAAGCAGCTGCAGGGTGAAGAGTAAGTCCTCTGGGGTTAAACCAGGATTTATCCGAGACTTAAGCAGGGTCTGTCTTCTGATTAAGCAGCATACGTGTTGAATTTACCATTTTTGAGTCCGTCTGTGAACCGGCGCGACGCAACCTGCTGCGTATACTAATGGAGTCAAGCAGAGTTTCTCTGGAAGTGTTGCAGGTCTTGTCCAAAAGTTAAGCAGGGTTCAGTGCGGGTTAAAGCAGCAAACGCTTTCGGTTTGAAAATGTTGCCGTAGTTTCATCGGGGACGGTGCGACGCAACTTGAGCAGAGCTTATTTGGGTCTCACCAACGGATTCCCTCGAGTTTAGTATCAAGAAGGAGACGGGTTCGACATAAAAGATCGATTCCAATCAACGCTTTGAAGAAGAAATTCTCTCAGGGCACAGTGCTTATGCTTCGTCGGAAGATTGGTAATGGCGGAGACTGTCACGGCATTGGCGCAGAGCGGTCTGCAAACGGTTTGCTATTCAGACAAAAAGCGAGTGAACTTCATAAAAAAGGAGGTATGAACAGAAAACAAAGAACAAAGCAGGTGGGCTTGATTTGCATGTGTGATCTCTTCGAAACCAGATGCGAAAGAGGACGAGAGCTTTGTTGCGGTGACAAAAGACGTGGGCGAAAGTGCGGACGCAAAAAGGTTGCGCCGCAACGCAAATCTCAAATATGTGTACTGAGGAATTGGGCCGGACGTATATGGGAGTTTCAAGCAGGGAACTTGATCCGCTGACGTCCTCCAAGCTTGTTGTCAGATCGACGGGAACCCCGGACTCAAAAGTACCTCCAAAGCCTGGAGCACACTGAGTAATTGCACAGGATACTCTCTAACAAAAGAAAAGGAAAACTGATGGCAGGGAGGGAACGCGTTGAGAGATCTCACCTTGATTTCCATCTCCACGATACCGGAGATGTTGACACGCACGCCGTCCCCCGCGGCTGACGTCATCAGATGCTCGAGCGCGCACGAGCCGTCCGATGCGCCCCACGTGTCATCTCCAGAGCCCGCGAACCTGGGCTCGTGGAGAAGGATTGGCTCCGAGTCAAAGGCTTAGGTGAGGTTGCTGGAGAGAGACGCGTCGGGCCTATCAGCAACCGCCACGTGGACGGTGTGTTCGATTTGGCCGTCTTCGGAGGTGTAGATGAGGAAGAAGGAGTCCATCCAGGTTCCGGTGAAGCCGGTGTGTTCCGTTTCCTGTGGGCGGAGAGCGGAACGTGGCCGTCGGTCAGGCAGACCAGGCGTGCAGATCAGATCCAAGGGCGTAAAATAAATGAGCAGCTAGAAGGTACGTAGAAGTCTCGAGATTCAGAAAAGCGGCAATCCAAAATGGCTCCTGATGGTTGTCAGAATACGTCCGTTTAGTTGGAACCAGCTTTCTTCCATAGACGGAGGCAGCGCAAGACGTGGAGCAGTTCTATCAGACATCGAGTTGAGCGCAAACCATTCTAGTTTCGAATCTGGACTCCGGAGATGCGGTTACAAATTGAAGGTAAAAGCATGTAAAGGAACGTGAAAGGTACACACCTGCCCGATGAAGTGACTGTTCATGTGGAAACGCGTGTCGGAGATGAGGCAGAAATCCTTGTCCTGCAACGGGGATTGGATAGTGTTAGAGACACGTGGCAGATGCTGATTCGCTCAGCTAGCCCAGGCTTCTAGACAGCTAATTTCTAATCTACAGCTCCTTTTTCTGAAAGACCACTGACGAAGACAGAGAGGAGGGATAATGAAACAGAGGGCCACAACGGAAAGAGACAACGACGCGATGACAGTGCGGGCTAAGGAGAGTAATTCGAGAAAAGGGCTGGATTACAAAATGAGGAGATTGCTTGCTTACCTTCTCTCCGTGAAAGTCGTACTTGATTCCTTCAGGTCCGTCAAAATGAGGGTCCTGTACTCGTGTAAGAGAATGCATGAACACTTTTGATTAAAAACCGGAGTATGCCATGCATTGAAAGGCCCTTGAAAGCCAAAGCACGCCGTGAGGAGAGGCTTCGTTCCTTTCTCCGTTTTCATGGACAATCACAGCAATCCGAAATCACGAGCACTCCACAGATATGCAGATTTCTACTGCTGGAGTCAAAACGAAATATATACAAACTCGAAAATCGGAAAACCTAAAATAGACTCACCCCGTTTCCCCCCGGCGATGGGTTCGGGGCCGACACACACGTGCACTCTACACGTGTCGTAAAGCTCGACCGAGGGGGCTCAGGGGTGAGCGTTATTTTGGGGCGGCTGCAGCTCGTGGTGCACGTGCCTTTTTCGGACGTGGCAGCACCTGCAGACGGCAGCAGGGGGTAGTCGATGACGTCAGCAAAGGGGAGTGGGCCAAGACAGCCACGGCGGAGTGGTCAGCTTGGCAACATTGGGAGCAGGCAGCTGGAGTGTCAGCAAATAGTGCATGGTGCTGTCAGCAGAAGCTTATTGAGTTGCTCAGTCACGTCAGCATAATGTGATTGCTGACGTCAGCAGGAGCTGGTCACAGTGGTTCAGCACAGGTAATTCCTCTGACACCAACGAACATCAAAGCTGCCGCTCGAATCAGTGCCGGCAAGATGCTGCGTACATTTGACGATACCGTCGTCAAAGGATTATCTGGCAAATAGCCGGCCTGCACAATCTGCTTCTCTTACCAGTTGACACTAGAGCTGCAACTTGCCAGTTCCCAAAGGGCTGCGCCCATTGACGGTGCCAGTGTTTGACGACTATCGTCCAGCAATCAGCTCCGCACATTGTTGTCAACACCAGTTGACACCAAAGCTACCGCTCACCACTTCCCGAGGTGCCACATGCATTGACAGGGGCATTCTGAAACAAAAACCAGCTCAGCAAATGTTTTATGACACCGACTGACACCAAAGCTGCACCTTACCAGTGCCCAAAGTGCCGCGCGCATCGATGGTGCCACTCTCAAAGCAGTCTTGTAACAGCATGTACTTCTTGACACCAATCGGCACCAAAGCTAACGCTCACGTCCAGTGCCGAAGTTGCTGCTCGCATTGACTGTATCTTATTAGAGACGTAACACAGTAATTGATTCCGCGCGCATATAATTTGATAGGGTTTCATACCAATTGACACCGACGCTGCGCCTTACCAGTGCCTGAGGTGCCGCGCGCATCGACGGAGCAGACCTTGTTAGCCACGAGGTTCTCCTTGTAGCACGCCCGGTAAATTCCCTCCGCAGAGGTCCCGGGGATCATCCCCGCGCAAAGCAGCACCACAAGCGCGGCCCGAAGCGCGAGCTTGCTGACGTCAGCATGGCGTGTCCTGGGAGCTGCCATAGTGCCACTAGTTGCTGCCTGCGGGGGGAGGCGCAGCGTTTATGAGACAATGGGGTTAGTTTTTGGAACCTGGAAGCAGCTTAAAAGTGAAGGTGCTGAGATTGGTTGCAGGCAGCTGATCAAAAAGCGGAGCTCGGAGCTAATAAAAATACTAGAATTCGAAGCTGCAGCTTAAAAAAATGTGCTTCTTATGACCTTCTATCCGTACGTTCACTCAATTCATGCTTTTCATGTTATATGAGCTGCAAGCTTCTTGTTCTGAGGCTGGCGGCTGGATGATATCGATTCTGTATGCATCTGGTGGCTATGAAGCGACTACCAAAGCCGGAAAGCCCTTGCATTGGTACTCGAGTCTGTCTCACACACTACACTAATCTGCAAAGGCGACCTAAAAGGGTGAAGCTGTCATGGCTTCGTCATTGTGAGGCAGCTATGACAGGAGTGATTTCTTGTTCAGTCAGTTCCGGACCGCGCTAAGGCTAAGAGATGTGTGCTGTCACGTCAAGATGATGTGCGCACGCGCGGGTCACCGCTCACAGTCCGACCACGTCTGTCTAATCATTGAATCTCGCCGGAGAGGTCGGACTTCGTACAGCACGCAACGTCGACGTATTCGAAAGCGTCGTCGTCTCTGACTCGCACAAAAACGTCAGATCGGATGTTCGACGATTTCAACGCTGGCACTGATCGGGTCGACCAAACCGGAGTGGACCGGTGGCCCCCCCCGGCCCGGCCTGGGATCAAGCTAATATGCCGGGGCGCCCGGACCCCTCGAGCAACGTTCCTCACGTGCGCTTGCGCGAGTCAGCTGCAATCTGCACATTGATTGCCACTGGCCAGTGGCTACAAGACAAAGCAGGTGGCAGCTTCGACGACGCAGCTAGCTGAATTAGAGCTACGTCGTAGCAGTATAGTCCTGAATCCTGATTTTGCAACTTGAAAGCCTGCCAGCCTGCCTCGCGTTTTTGGCCCGTTCCGGACCAATGTTCCACGCGCGCGGCGCGGGCAGTGGGTCATGCAGTCCAATTTTGAAGTCATATGGCGGCCGGATCGGACTCAAACGTTTTGACTTCTCAGGTCCAGTTCACTCTGACGTACACTATACCGTAGTACTGACGATGCAGAGACTATGTTCTTGTATTAGGCTATATATAAGTCACATACGGGTAAAGCAGAATTTATCTACGTCATACTGACGGTCCCTAGTACCTACACTAAGCGGCAGTGATTGCTCGCGACACCGCATCACTTCGAACAACCTGTGTAGCTCCAGAGCAGGCATGCACCTGAGCCTGAGACCCTTAATTTTAGATCTGATTGTTCTCTGAGGGAAGTATAGTAATGGTATCGATCTTCTGACTAGTGCAACCCTTTCGTCACAGGCTAGAGACATGTCGGATTGTAGTACGTCGGACGTACGCATGTAACAATCATGTTGAGTTGCATGTGCCTAGTGCTACTCAGATTGAAACATTGCATTTTGGTAGCCGTCGCATGAGGGACTGATTTGCATTGTGAGCCTGGCAGGTTCGTCGAGTCTGGAGGCTTGGTTTTGGTGAGTCGCATCTGTATAGCATGCATATAGCTGCAAGTCCAGTCTCCCTCTCATCATGGAAAAACCTGCGCTATACTATTTAATTTGCACTCCTCACGTACTGTGAACGTCTCAAAAGTTGAAATTCTGACTTGTTCAGAAGCTTTTTCAAGCCTGTCATGCAGCTCTAGACTCACGGTTTCGACGTAGCGCTCCTCGAACGAACTTTTGGGTGTGCCAGACGGTTGGAGTTCGGACACTAACTCTGACGTGCGTATGAAGAATGCTGCTAAGTGTTTGACTGATTGCTTACCGCACCCCGGCCCCGCAGTCCTTTTCGACCGCTTCTTGTCTGCTTGACTGCCGCTCTGACTCCAGATTGTCCAAGTAGTGTACAAAAAGCACGTGACAAGAACTAACTTAGAAGTCTTATAAGTTCTGCCCAAAACAAGCGCCAAAAGATTGGACACGTTTGCTCGGGCGCTACTTGTAATAACCATGTTTTCTATTCCAGATCGTTCGTCTAACCAACGGTCACACTATGGAAAAAGCACACCTAGCTGTTTGACTCAATTAAAGCACTCAAAGCAATCCAAAACCTCGTCAACTTTCTTGTGGGATTCAGAAGACTGTTGCTTCTGTCTATCTTCCCCCGGATTGGAAAGTTCCCTTCAGGCCGTCTATCTCACTCGGTCTCCCTTAGAGCCGCAAATCCGAAACCTTAGGATTCTCACGCCTCTAGGATCGTGGAACCTCGGGAGCCAATCCCAATCTCAAAAGACCTTTAAGATTCCAAAGCCCCGAACTTTTAAAGCCCTACGTCTGTAACGTCCAAAGCACCCAGAATCTAATACACCCGAACTCCCAAACCCTCAGACCCTAAACCCCCGCGCACAGCAGCCCGCCGTCCGCCACGTGGCGGCACGCGAAGCCGCCGCTGACGCTCAGGGTTTGCGCGTCGGCGCTGAGCAGCTTGCGGGACGAAGCCGCGTTCCGAGAGCCCGGTTGGTCCGTACTGGGCGTTTCGAAGGTGCGGACGTACTGGGAAAACTTGCAGTCCGGTGAAGCCAGGTCGGACGTCTGGTAGTCCCGGTACGTACCATCGACGATGCCCTCGCCGTTGTCGCCCACGTGGCCTGCGGCCTGTGCGGAAAAAGACGCCACGTTGGGCAGAGTTAGTTGGGTGGCGAACTAAATTGCCAAAGTTCAAGTAGCTGAAAATTGTATGAAAGACGGGACCTTTTCACTATGGTGCTTCTCTCCTTTCCCACTGGAAGTGCAGTTTCGCATCGAGGGCGCTGGATTTGAGTGATAAGATTGCGAGGAATTACCTTCATGCTTTGATTTGAAACATACAAAAGTGGGATTCGCATTGAAAACGGAGGTGTCAATCTTTCTCTGACCATAAAACGTTGAAGACGAGTAGCGCCCGGCCTTGCTTTGAAACCTGCATTTTCAGCCTTGACTATTTGAGGACCTTAACCTTAATCCTGGATGAACTTCCGTCTCTCACGCGTTTCAAGGCTTTTGATTTTGGAGATTCAAAGCTGTAGCGCATTGACAACTTGAAGGATAATCTCAATGCGAGCGGAGAGCAAGCGTCTTCACCGCAGCGAAACGCACTCGCCCACTACGTCAGGCTGTCAGAAAATGAGTGACGTCAAAACGGCAATCTCGAAACCACATCGCCGCAAGTACTGCTGTTTGCGTCAAAGTTGGCACCCGAGCTCGGATCGAAACGCGCGTTCCTCGATCACGGATCGCGATGTCGGTTCCCGATGTTCCCTAAAGTACCCTCCCGGAAGGACTCCGGATACCAAATTGCTGACCGCTCCAAGTACTTCAACACCGGCCGAACTACAGGTAACGTTTTCAGGGGGGATGCTATCAAGGATCGAGGAACAACTTCGCGACTCGAGATTGAAAAGCGCGCATTCCGATCCCAGCTCGGGTGCCAACTTTGACGCAAACAGCAGTACTGCCGGGTTTGGTTTCCACATGGACGCTGCAGTTTGTCATCGCGAGACAGCGACGGCGTATCTCAAAAAAGACCAGAAAGAGGCGCTGACACTGTCTGGAGCTGCCAGTGGGAGCTCCAGACAAGTCCGTTTCGCGCGATTTTCAGAGATGGGTCTTTGAGATTCGTATCAAGAACTGCTGCTGCATAGCTGTCACTCGTAGATATCTGACCTGAGGGTTTGTGCTAGGTTCCGGGGTAAAATGGATCTGCGGTCAAAGTTTCAGGGTTTGAGGGTTTGGAGATGCCCGCCCGGCCATACCTGGAACTGCTGAGGCTTGCCGCTCTTGAACATCTGGCCCAGGACTCCGTGCACTGATGACGTCATGCGCAGGGCGTTAATGGAGAAGTCGAGGTGGAGGCCGTCGGGGTAGTTGTGTGACGCGACCTGTGAGGGGTTTCTTCCGCGGTTAAGCAGCGTTTATCTGGGGGTCAAGCAGGGTTTCTATGCGGGTTAACCAGCATGCATCTCTGGTTAAATGTGAATGGTCGAGCGGTGCGACGCGACGTGCGCAGGTTTAAGCAGAGTTTCCTTCAGGTTTCAATTTAGTTTCAGGAAGGAGAAGGGTTCGACAAAAGATCGATACGATCCATTGCTTCGAGAAGTTTCTTGAACATCGAGGCTGCTTTTGGTTCGACAGGAATGGATCGAAGGAGAAGGCCGTCACGGCAGAGGCGTAGAGCAACCTCCAAAACGTTTTATTTTTGGGTTAAGCAGTTTGCGGGTTGCAAAGAAGGGGATACCAAAATCGAAAAAATAAGACAGAGTGGGTTCGGATCCGAATGGCAGAGTTGATGCACGTCTAAAATCAATCGCGAGCAGTAGGCAAAAGCGTTCTAGCTCACTATTATCTGTACAACAGGCATTAAGAAAAGTCGATCAGGGGACTGTGCAACGCAAAGTGCACGTAGCGATTCTGAAATACGACCAGGTATGTGGGTTTTGAATAAGGACTTTATTAAACTCATGTCTTCTCCTGAGATCAGACGAGACCCAACTGAAATCGAACGGACTCTGTGACAACTTCAACGATTGCAGAGAGGAACAGATGCACAAGAATCTGTTCAACCGAAGAGGAAAAAGAAAAGCCGGAGAACACGCGTCGAAATTCCACCTGGATTGTCATGTCCACGACACCCGAGATGTTGACACGCACGCCGTCCGTCGCGGCTGACGTCATCAGATGCTCGAGAGCGCAGGAGCCGTCCGATGCGCGCCACGTGTCATCTCCGGAGCCCGCGATTCTGGGCTCGTGCAGAAGAATGGGCTTGGAATCGAAGGCGATTGTGAGGTTGCTGGCGAGAGACACGTCGGGCGTATCAGCGACCGCCACGTGGACGGTGTGTTCGGTCTGGCCATCTTCGGTACTATAGATGAGGAAGAAGGAGTCCATCCAGGTTCCGGTGAAGCCCGTGTGTTCCGTTTCCTGTGGGCGAGATCGGAATTGATAATTTGTCAGAAAGATGAAGGAAGTATGTCAGCTAGAGGTACAGAACAACATATATTATAAGCCAAGGAAGTGTTTGTATGTTGCGAGGCTTCTGCCGGTCATCAAGAGAGAACCATGCAGTGGCAGTTGTACAGCAAAAGTGGACGGTAAATTTTGCTTCGAAAGTGGATCGAAGCAGCGAAATGCATTCAGCAGATCGCACCGAGCTGAACGTAAACCTATCCTAGATCAGGTCTGTACGTAAGACCTGGCGACGTATGAGTGGTAAAAGACAAAACATGCCGTAGATTAAATCGCAAAGGAAGATTGAAAATCTATACCTGTCCAATGAAGTGACTGTTCATTTGGAACCGAGCGTCGGTGATGAGGCAAAAGTCCTTATCCTGCAAAGGAGAATGGGCAATTTTGGTGACACGTGGCAGATAACCACTGGGTTAGCCAGTGGGTGCCGGACAAACTACAAACGGAGCTTCTGTCGTCAGTGAACTGCTGACACGTGACTAGCTGTGCATTGCAAAGTTGGGAACTCTACATGACCAGCTTACAAGAAGAACTTAATATACGATACAATCAAGAACAATCGAGAATACAACAACGAGGCAATACGTTGGGCACAATCTGAAAGGAGTGCATTAATCGACCCGGCCCCAACTCGAGCGAAGATTGAAACGCGACTTGCACAATTTATATGTTCTTCAAGACGAAGTCAACCCAGCAACTTAGATAGGAAGTGTCACGACACCGTCACAGAGGATGATTTGAGTCGACGAAAGGGCATTCAAGATCACAGTGCTTGAAGCGGTTCCAAGGCCTGTGAAACAGACCTCTGCCGAAGAGTGTGAAAAGGCTCCAGCGTTCGAACCGCCTGAACACTGTGAGTGGCAATTGTGGTTCTTAATGAGTGGACATCTGATGTCTTGGCAGGATTCCAGCAAGAATTAGTTTGCATTTTGGCTTAGAGTGGGAGTGGAATCAAGGTATTAAGAAAGAAGGTGAACATGGAACTTTCGTGAGAGCCCAGTAAGAAAGTGAGGTTTCATCGAGACACTCAAAAGTAAGGTGTTATCACGAGGAAATTGTTTGCTCACCTGTTCTCCGTGGAAGTCATACTTGATACCTTCAGGTCCGTCAAAATGAGGGTCCTGCATAACGCACGTAAGGCACTGATTGAGAAACTTGGAAACGGAATGGCCCCCCAACGAGGATGACATATTGGAAAACCTATGCTTTTCTGAAAGTGGGGAAGCGTTTGCAGGATTTGGTTCTGTATGAAAAGATCGACGTAGCTTTGGTCCGCAACAGATGCGAAACAGCGGAGAGAGATAGAGAGTGCTTCTGAAACAAAGGCAGTGCCAGCTTTCAGTCTCCCTCAGAAGCAGTCACAGGAAAGAATACAAGGGACTTTCTTTCAAGGCAAAAGAACCGATATGCTGCGACAGTTGCAGAACTCTGGAAGAGAATGGCAACACAGAGCGACGTTTGCCAAGCCAGCAATGGAGATACAGGAACTATCTCAGAACGTGCAAGACTTAGGTGGCATCTGACAGTGAGCTCACCGCATTACGTCAAGGAGAGAAACGAAAGTTGAACAACACAACGATTGCAACGTCGGCAAACCTGATACAAGATGCGCGTCGAAACTGTGCAAACGTTGATTGTCATCTGACGATGACCTCACCGCATTGTGTCAAGGAAAGAACTGAAAGTTTGCAACGTACACTTGTAGATTCTAGATGTTGCTGAACATCACAATGTTTGCAACGTCGGCATGCAAGTCTCATACAAGATGCAAGTCAGAACTGTGGGGAAACTGTGCAAACCCTCCACTGTAAATGATAGCCCGGTTTGAGACCGCTTCGATCTTAAACCTATTCAGGTTTTCAGGCTAATTTGGTCTTAAACGTTGTGTCAGACCATTTTGATCTTAAGTGCTGATTTTTTGAGTTCAAAACGGCCTCAGCAAACAATCTTAAACCGGGTAATGATTTGATGTGTTCATTGTCATCTGAAGAGTGAGCTCACCCCGTTGCCCCCGGGGGCCGGGTTTGGGGCCGCAGCGCACACGCACTTGACAACTGTCGTCACAGTGGATACCGGCGACTCAGAGATGAACTCTTTCTTGGGGGAGCTGCAGGTCAGAGTGCACGTGCCTTTCTCGCACGTGGCGTCACCTGCGGACGTCAGCAGAAGGTGGTCAGTGACGTCAGCAAAGGTCGGGGTGGATCTTGGCAACACAGAGCGGTCTGTGACGTGAGGAGCAGGCAGTTGGCCGAGGGTCAGCGGAGAGTGTACACTGGCGGCTGTCAGCGGAAACTGCTCAGTCCCGTCAGCGGAAAGCGAATGCTGACGTCAGCAGGCGCGGTCACACTGTTTCAGCACAGGTTCTTGACACCAGTTGACACCAAAAGTACCGCCCACCAGAGCTCGAGGTGCCGCACACACTGACGGTGCCAAAGTCAGAGCATGTTCCCACATTACATACCCTATCACCCTAGCTCTCATACGCTTTAGACACCAGTCGACAGCAGATACTTCTTGACACCGCTTGACACCAGAGCTACTACGTACCAGAGCCCGAGGTGCCGCGCACACTGACGGTGCCAGTGTCGGAGCAGACCTTGGCGTCCAAGGGCGACTCCTTGTAGCAGGCCTTGCAATTCCCCGCAGCAAAAACCGCAGGAGCCATCCCAACGCAGAAAAGCAGCACGAGCGCGGCCCGCAGAGCGCCCCTGCTGACGTTAGAATGACGCTTGTTGGGAGCCATATTTACGTTGCCGGTTGCTGGCTGAGAGCAGAGGCGCAGTATATGAGGGAAGCTTTGGTGTGGCGGCGTAGAATTGCGAGCTGGGCCGTTCGACTTATCCGATTGCGAGTAGCTTGGGATCAATGCGGAGCTGGTTAGAATGAAAGTTGGATTCAAGGCCTTTTGTATGGAGCCGGAGATTGTTTTAGTCGGTACCAGCTCCTGAACCGGAAGCAGTAGTCGTCGTGTATTGCTTCAATAGTGCTTCGCGTTCTTGAAGGAAAGTACCGTAGCTACTATACTAGTAGGTTCTCAGAACTGCCGGGCCGGACAGTGGGAGTTGTTTCAGTCTGTAGCTAAGAAGCGTCGGACGAAACTGTGTTAGTTGAAGCCGCTCGCCGTCTTAATGGAGTCACACCTCTGCTGTACTGGTCTGCCATGCAAGCCGCGAAGGGAGAGAATGAAGCTGTCATGGCTTCGTCATTGTAAGACAGCTGTGACAGCAATTGCTTCTTTAGCGATCGCTTCGGCTGAGAGTTGAACTGCCACGTCACGATGTGCACACCCGCCGATTCATTCCGACCACTGTCTATCCTTGAATCCCGCCGGAGCAGTCGGACTCCGTACCGCACGCAACATACGAATATTTCGTCGATTCTTACTCGCCCTGAATGGGCAGTCCGACGTTCGACGACATCAACGCACTGATTGGGGATCAAGCAGCACGCAGTCTGACGGACGGCCCCCCCGCGCGCCCGCGGCCCTGGATCAAGCGAAGATGCCGGGGCGCCCGGACGTAACCCCCGGACAATCTTCCTCAGCATGACTGTATCATCCTCTGGGCACTGTGAGTCACGTGCGCTCATGGCCGCCCGGCTGCGTGCATGCAGTGGCAGATAGCTACATAACTCGAAGTAATTCGAAGATATAAGCGGGCGGCTGGCAGGCTGCTTAAACTTGCAAGCCTGCTGGTTCGTTTCCGTTTAAGTTGAACTCCGTAAGTCGCGTCTCCAACTTCAATACCGTAGGTGGCCCTTACTCGTCAATCATGTAGGCGGATTCATGTCAGGTACGTTCCGTGACCGTTCAATCCTGCATTGAACCATACTATAGCCAGCTAGCTTTTAAGCAGGATACCCAGGCGTGGGCCGCATGCACAACAGAGGAGGCGGTAAGTTATGCACACATCTGGCATCATGGTTGGGGCGCGACAGTTGCGTGGCACGAACCAATAGTGTAGTCCCTCACGCACGACGCTCTGTGAGTGCAAAATGTAGCCAATGGGTGCTCAAACCGCCCGGCAATCCTTCAACTATTGAATGTTTACCAATCAATATCCAAAGTTACAGAGCAAAAGCCTGATGGCATGGCTCTACTTGGCGATGCATGTCGGATCTTCACTCTAGCTCCCGCAATCCAAACTCAGTTACTGTCCCGGCACACTATGCACAACAGCTACTGACTCTTGCAACACGAAAGCTGCCGGCCGCAGCTACTCCTACTGATTACGAGACCACGTTAAGATCTGGACGGGTTACAGCGCCCTTCTATCCCTGAGTATCGTTAGTCGTGTGTCACGCGCTCTCTGCAAAAACTACGGCCGTGAAAACTACGGCCGTGAGCCCGCTCCCCCTATACCATGCGAAATATGCATAGAAATAAAACCGCCTGGATAGTAGCCCGCGTCATGGAACGTCCCGCCGTCTTCGAGCGCCGGAGACGCAGCATCCTCGTCGATCTTGGACACGCGCACGTCGAGGCCTCGTTCCACGAGCCGCTTGCGAAACTCTTCGAACATTCCAAGATCTCGCACAGCGGAGACGAGCAGACACTGGCCGTGGGGCTGAGCCATGCGACGCTTGATTACGGCCTGGGGCGGGAAAAGGAAATTGCTAAGGAACTCCGACGCCTTTACTTGTCACCTCCCATTCGCTCTTCTGTTGTAGCAGTGTCTATCGGTAACCGTTAATGGCCGGAACCTTCGCCAGGTTGATCCCGTTGCCCCAGAACGAAACTGGAGCGACTACCCCCGTGTGAACCCCAGCTGAACCCTCATTCAAGAAATAAGGACTCAACTATTCCTGCACAATCCCCGTATTTCAAGGAGCAGAACAGGCTGGTTGCCTGGTACATAAGGCGACAGCCCACTGAAAAACGGTCAGGGGCTTATTACACCCGGTCGTTCAGTCAAGGCCTGAAACAAGTGCCGTGTAGCATGCGAGAATGTAAAAAGTGTATGAATTGACTCAGCGGGAAGTCAATCCGTGAACGTCGTCTGCTTGAGAAACGATGTCCTAGCACACGCCCGACGGTCTGGGCTGGCGGATCTGACCAGAGATCGCCGAGCCCAGTTTCTCGAACGGCGAGCTTTCCGACGCTGGGGTTCGGTAGGAAAGCCAACATACACTTCTGAAACTACGATGTGGGGGGGATGTGGGGGGCAAGTTTGAAAGGCTGGATACAAAGACGGACTCCAGCTTCAGCAGTCAGGGCTTCAAGGAAAGACTCCGACTCACGAGTCCTAGGTATTTAGCAGCGTACTCGTTAGATTCAACGGTGACGATCAACGCCGGTCTCTTCCCTCGTGCCACTTTCAACTCTGGACTTATGCCAGAAAGAACGGAGCTTCGGCTCCTGCGTTGACGAAACTTTTTGGTGAAAAAGGACACTGTTGAAAGAGGCTCGGTGGAACTCACCGAAAGGGACTCGATCGCCGCGGCGCTGTACAGGCAGTCACTCCCAACGATGATGTCAAACACCTCGTCAGCAGCCAGCTTCGGGGGACTCGTGCCGGCCTGCACAGGGAACTCTTTGCAGTGAGGACTTAAGAACGCAGATGGAGGACACCAGTAATTTTCCAGCAAACACTCGCAGTCTCCGTCCGTCTGAGCAACGAGTACAGAAGAGCGAATGCGACGTAGCGATAGATGACTCATTCGGCTGTCTCTTGGCACCTGTTACAGCCGTCGAAAATCTGGAGCCGACTCAGGAGCAGATCAGTAACCATCGGCCCGTTACTTATTTGAAGATAAAGAGAAAGAATACAACAACTAAAGGATGCTTTAAGAAATGAGCTTTAAACATCTCTCGCAACACGCTCACCTGCGCTTCAGCCAGTTGCACTTGACCCGTCCCAAGCGCCGCAGCGTCGTCGTCCCATTCTAGTTGCCGCACCCGCACCAATGACGCGCCCCCGTTCACACCACCCGGGGAGTCCCCATTCACACCACCCGCCAGGGAAGTATTTACATCATCCCCGTGCTCACCGACTTCTACCCCCCCAGACACAGCGGAATCGTCAGACCAGCCCCCCGGAATCGTGTACCAAGAATCCCAGCTTGACTCAAAACGCCCCGGTTTTGAAACGGGGGGTAGAAACTGCTGGGTTTTGGTGGGGGAGGCTTTGAGGGAGAGAAAGGGTTGGGGGCCGAGGGGGGGAGAGCGGAAAGATAGGCCGTTGAATGCTGCGGTTGGAGACTGGGGGCGGTTTTGGATTAGGTGGGCCCGTCTGATTGGGTCAGGACCCTCGATTAGGTTGACCGCTTCGTTCACTCCTAACCCTAGATAACCGTCGCCACTGTCCATGGATCTCAGCCCGAGACCGCTACTAGGGCCAAGAGTGCCGAGGGGGGGTAAACCGGTGGGGCGCACGAGCCCCCCGAAAGCGGTTAGCTTGTTTGCGGCGTCGTTTGCAGTACGAGCGGCAAAGGAAGTCGGACGGTTGTCGGTTTCAGAGGCGTCTGCCAAACGGTGAAGTGAATCGCTGGAGACGACTTTCTGAAAGTCTCTCTGGCTGTTAATGGTTGCGTTTGTGGTCCAGGGTGCGTCGGATTGCTTCGCCGGGGGGTCCTTGGACGGGGCCAATTCACCCCCCCGGTCGGAAGGCGCAGGTTCGCACAAGAGGGTCCGCACCGAGTCGCGAAGGTTAACGAGGAGGGGTATGGTGTTGTCAGTTAGGGTTACCTGCGAAGGAAAGGTTCAGGATGAGTGGACTAATCTGAAACGTTAAATTGAAGTTATGAACGAGGTTCGATAGACGGGGCCCACTGTCGAACAGTAAAGCTCATCGTCGTTCAGCAGCCTCCCTTTATCAAGTGTGCCCATGCTGATTCGTTTTTCATAATTTCACCCGAATCCGTCTAGGCGACTAAGACTGACATAAGAGTGGACACCCGACTTTTAGGTCGGTGACGTAATCTTTCAAATTGAAAGTCATACAGGATTGGTTTATCAGCTAAGCAGAGAACCTCTTTTGCGACGCTCGCTGCGACTCCAAGAGGAATAAGCAGAAAGCTAGCTCTTTAGCAGTCCCAGTATACTGAAGCAGAAACCTAGCTCTATAGCAGTCCCAGTATACTAAAATCATTGCAATCGAGTGCTCTGTAGACTCGAGAACAGCTGGTTCAGAAGCCGGTCTCTTTCCATTTCTTTTTCGAGCAACTCCTTATTCGAACAATTCGAGAGAGTTCACGACCAGATCTGTGCTGTAAGAACTGTGTTTCCGTATTCTCTTTGTGTTCTGCAAGACATTTCCCGACGATGACTCGACAAAAGCTTTCCACCCTTGCTTCTCCGGAATTGAGAGTGTACCGGTCATGCAAGGCTCAGAATGATCCCACAGGCGAAAAGAAGCGGGAACAAACCACTATTTGACAAGAGAAGGCGACTCACGTCCTGAGCGCCCAGCTTGGTCGCCAAGAATCCGCACAGCCCACAGCCGCTGCCTATCTCGAGCACGCTTTTCCCGGCGACCAAAGACGGGTCGGCTGACAGCTGGTCACCCAAAAGCACAGCCCTGCAGTGGAAGAGTATTGAGCAGATAAGCGATCGGTAGAAAGAATTAGTTTGGCCGTCAAAGGAACGATAAGGGCGCTATGCTAGCTTTCGTTCCTGCACGATTGCACGGATGGCCAAATGACTTATTGTAGGCGATTCGTAAGGATGCTTTGTTTATCAAGAGAATGGCCGGTGCAAGGGCGCGTACGTGTAGAGACTTTGTTCGCCAAAGCGTCGCACAATTTATGAATCCAGGTCAGAACTCAAAAAGAGAGGATTGGGAAAGAGATGAAAGCAAAGAGAAGGGACTGAGGGTAGCAAGAAAAGGTACAAGAAGACTCGCGCTTTGCAGACTCATCACAGAGAACGAGGAACGAAGGGAATGGGAAGGAGCAGAGACAGGGGATGAAAGCTAGCAAGAGGAGGGCCCAAGAAGACTCACGCTTTCCAGACTTTGCATCCGAGGCCAGTGTCGGAAAACTGCGTCTCCCGGACACTGACGGAAGTGCCGTCCGAAAAATCAAATACCTGAAGGGGGCGGCGAATTCGAGGTGAGCGACTCTGTAAAGCACTCAGATTACGAGACAGTCTCAACGTACCAAACGTGAAATCACTAGGAGTCCGTTCCTTGGAACCTCGCAGAGGTGCCCTCGAAAGGAAGAAAAGATTTGGAAGGAGCGGCGTAATTGGGTACGGGCGACCTTCGTGAGAAGCCAGACTTCCGAAAACGACTTAGAGAACCGGGAAGCGGCAAGATTGAGGAGCGACGAGCGACGAGCGACTCCAGCAGCGTTTTGCAACGCAATCACTTTTGAGTGCGAAAGCCAACAAAGGTCGAACCACCAGCACTAGCACTTCACGTGGCTCCCACTCCCACCTCGAAGGACGGATCTATTTATATGTCCACTTGTGGGATGCTAAATGAAGTCGCCAGTCTCCGCTTCCTACCTTTTCTTAAGAGGCCGAGGTTGCAACCATGGTTCGCTTAGGAGGACTTCTATATCCCTAAACTGTCTTGGCATCACTTCACTTTCAAAGCTAAGCGCGCCAATCCCGCTGATGAGTCGTTAAAAAGACCGTCAATTTATCTTGTCCTAGGATCCGCTTGAAATGCTCCGAAGATGAAGGCATTGACCTTCACAAGTCGGACAGGCAAGCGGCGACTCCACTTACAGGGCCTCTCTAAACACAGAGTGAACTGACTGCCCATACGCGTTTTCCGTAAGGGCCCATTTCGGCAGCAGTGGATGTCAAAGCAATGCTGGCAAGCAGCTTCGATTTCGTTTTCAGGGCCTCTACAAAGTCTGGGGCCCTACCTTGACCATGGGCTTGGATTGGAAGGCCCCATTGCAGTGGGAAATGACGTCAGCGGCGGACTCCATCATCTCTTCGTCGTCACTGTCCAGTAGTTTGATCATCAGGTTAACCCCGCCCTCCTGCTTGATTCCTGCAAAACGACGGGGTTGAAAGCTGGTTAGGGGCATAGTTGGTGCAACGCTCAGGGGTTAGTGTGCATACAAGTATTCCGCTTTTGTGGACGAAACTTTTGATCTGAAAGCCTTCAATGGCAACCTATCTCTGCAGGAAGCCAAACTAGGCTGGGGGCTTTCACAAACGGCACAGGGAGGAGCATGCAGGAAGTTTACCTGGTGAAATATACTTGGTGATTTGTCCAGTATTGCCCGCATACTCGCAAACTCATCATCCGAAGCATTTCGGGGACCCCTACGCTTTATGGTGCAGTTTGCTCCTTGAGCCTGACCATCTGATGCTTGGCACTCTCACTGCAATCCTTGCTCCGCCTCCGATGACAGCGCAAAATGGAATCTCATTGCGGAAACCAACAAAATAATGCCAACAAACCGAAAAATCATTAGTACGTGGGCTGTTTTCTGCTGACGCAATTCCAACGCCAAGTGCTGGCGCTTACTCTGTACAATCGTCTCGCCCAAAACGGCAGCACTGGCCAGGTGCTTTGCCGCAGCCCTCTCCTCCGGAGTCCACCCCCTCTCCCTCGCCTGCCGTTTCAGCCCCCCCCTGAGGACGTCCAGCCACGTGGTGACGTCAGCAGCTACCAACGCCAGCTCAGCGGCTTGCTGCTCTCGAAATTCCCGGCTGCCCCTCCTGGGAAGGCCCAGGTTCTCTCTCGAACCGCTCTTCTTGACATCGCCGAACGGCGCTGCAGGGTCTCCCCCAGCTTTGCCCACTTCAGTGTCAAACTCCCGGCTCCCCCTTGAGGGTAGCCCCAGGTCGTCCCTCGACCCGCTCTTCTTGACACCACCCGGAACATTAGCAGGGCCCTGACCGACCCCTTGGGCTCTGGTGTCAATCTCATCCCGGAAAGACGCTCCACTTCCGGCAGAAAAGGCAGGCGTGGTGGTGGGGCTTTCCCACGTTTTCTGGGGGGGTAATTCCAGGGGTGAAATATCCCCCAACTCCGGAGACTCCGCCTCCTCGGGCACCGGGCTCGCCGCCTCCTTCAGGCAGGCCAGGTCCAGAGTCAGATTCGCCCAATGAGAAAGCGACACCTGGCTGACCAGCGAGTTCGCCGACGGCTCTTCGGTGACGAAAGCGGCTTGATGGCTCGCCACTGGTGTAAACACGCCCCCGTCCCCACTCGGGAGCTGTTCCGGACGTGCCGTTGCCGCATGTCCGTCGGTTCGGGGGGGTTCCGAGACGTCCAATGGAGTGCATGTTTCGTCCCCCGCTGGTGCATGGCTCGCACCCTCTTGCACCTTACAGCTGTCCCCATCCTGCGGTGCACAGCTGTCATCACCTGGATACGTCCACGTGGCAGCAGCCCGTTGGCCTTCGCTTTGCCGGTTTGATCCGAGGGGCTCGGCGGCTGGGCCGATGTCCATTGGGGAAACCCCCTGATCCGATTGCTGCCCCAACGAGCCCCCCCCCGGGGACCGGTAGCTGGGGTACCGGGTACTGACGTAAGCCACCTCGCGGCCGGTTCGCACCACGTATGTCTCTACCGGGCTCAGGGGGTGGGCCCTTGGGAAGGCTCCGAAGGGACTAGAGGGAGTTTCCGAGCGAGGAGAGGAGGCCGTTGGTTGAGAACGTGAGGGAGGGGTGAATGTTTCCCCGGGCCATGGAGAAGGGGGGTTGTATCCTGAGGGGTCGTCCCAAACTTGCTGCGTCTTGGGAGCAGAGTTTGGAGGGTCCTCGGTGAAAACCCGGCTGGGAGACAGCTCAGCCCGGTGCACCGTAAGCATTGACACTGGTACGGCCTGGCGCAGCCGCGGCGAGGCAGACCGTGCCCGCGGTGTCAGCTTCCGCGTCTGCTGTGGAGAGCAATGTACGGAAAGGCTCCTGTCAAAGGGGTTGCGGTGCAGACCGGCACTCGGCCCGTCTAAGAGCGCGACACCTGTCGATCCCTCCTCGACAGCTGTCAAAGCCGAGGGATAGTAACTTCTGCTCGCTTGCGATGACTCAGGTTGCTGGCCCCAGATCCGGTGCATCTCCCGCAACTCAACCGACTCCCGGAAATCCCCAGGAAACTTTGTGGCGTCAGCAGGAACCCCAGTGGCGTCACGTTCAAGCTCCATGCTCCGCCGCATGAATTTCAGCGCCCGGTCGTCTCCCGCCTCCTCAACGTCGAAGCTGTGCCGCTTTCGGTGGCCCCCAGGGCTCAGCAGCCCCCCCCCTCCGGGGCTGTCAAGGCTACCCGCCCGGGGCGAGATATCCCGCAACCATGACTCGTCTGGCGCACTCCCCCCGTACAAAGACTCGCGACCCCTGGAAGGCAGCGACACCCCCGTTCTGAGCCTGCCAGAAAACCCCCCCCGCAGCGAAAGATCCCTGCCCCACGGATTTCCGGGCTCGGTTCTCTGGCCTTGCTGCTCCCACGTTCCAATACTGCCAGCGCCCACGCCCCGAGGCGACGAGGTTTCTTCCAGGGGGTCCCCCGAGCCCGAACTTGCACCCCCCCGCACGGCGTCCGCGTCCATGTCTGGTACTTGCGCGTCCAAACGCAGGCTCTGTTGGCTCGCCCGCTCTTCTGGGAAGAAGTCCGGGTTAATCGCACACAGTGACATCACCTGCTGTCGGTCTGACGCGCCTGACGCATGCTGGAGCGCCCAGTTGCCAATTGACCCAAGTCCCTGTGAGTTTTGGCTGTTGGGGCTGTGGCCGGAGGACAGGTGTCGCTCGAGGCGGATGCGTGTGGCGCCCAGAAACGGTTCGCCCCGGGTGGGAATCTGCAAAATTCAGCAGCTCCGCATTTAGTGCTTGAACAGGACTTGGGCAACCAGAACAATGCAGCAACATTGCCACCGAATTTTGATGTTGATGGCCCCTCACGACCAACAGAACAAAGACTGCGGCAACCAAGGAGCACCGTTATGAAGCATTGCCAAAAGGACTTGGACATCCTGACATGTTAAGGCTCCTCTGAGGTCCATACTGGCCTTTGTGTCGAGAAGAGTCTAGCTGAGAGACATTTTCCCTTCCAAACGAGCATGACGATCTCATGTCAGGTTTCATTCAGTTTAAGTTCCTGCCAGCTCACACTTCTGGCCTAAGGTAGCCCCGAAAACGAGAAATGGGAAGCTATTTTATATAAGTAGGTCCAAACTAATCAAGTTTACTGCCAACTTACACTGCAAGTATCTTCAAAGATGAAGTCCAAACCCTACGCTCATCAATCCTATAGTAGGAAGCGACGCTAAAAGAAGCATGCCTCGGAGACTCGTGTTATGAAGGACGAGTGTGTCAAAGGAGGGGTCTACCAGAGACTTGACTCAATCAGCAGGAACGTCGTTGTAAGGGACAGTATGCGATGGGGAAAAGTGACTCAAGAACGAAATTTTCGCACCTCCCATTCTTCATGCTTGGGAGCCGGTTGTCCCCGGGTCCGCAGCCGGGGAGAGGTGTCTCGGCCCGCAGGATGCGTTGAAAGCACGGGCGCGACTTGGTCCTGCGAGTATTAGAGGGGGGGAATCGTTAAAAGGAGAACATGCAAGGGCAAAACATCTCAACCGCCTGGATGGGTGAAAGCACAGGCGCAACAGGTTTTGAAAGGCGAATATTATTTCAGGACGATATGCTTGATACATCTGCAAACTCAGAGAGGGACACGATTGGCGGGACTGGAACTCTATTCTGGACAGGCCATATGAACTGCTCAAAGCAATCGACCAAGGACTCTTTCCTTAGCACTACTACTTCTTAAAAGTCATACAGACGCCAATCTATACCTTCCCAGAAAAAAACAGCGCATCAACCCTTCTTTCACAAGATACCTGGCCGGGGACGTTACCTGACCTCCAGATGGCCGCTACCCTGTGGAGGCGACAAGGCAAAGATTAAAGTCTGGAGTGAAGCATCCACAACGTATATTAGCTTAGTCAGACCATCAGAAGATCACGCACCTGTTGATTGCGGCTAGACGAAACTTCCCGCTCTTCTTGGCTCCCCCCTTGGCTGGCAAGCTTGCTTAGATACCGGTTCGTTGCAGCCGCCTTCAGTGAAAACACCGCCGATGCCTCAAGCCGGGGGCCCCCTGCCCCCCTGACTCCGCCCCCCCAGAAGCTCCCTTCTCTAGTTGAGGGGTCCCTTTCAGCAGTGTCTGACACCCCCCGGGAAGAAACCGTCTGCTGGCTGCTCTCTTGGCTCATGGACGGAACCTGCTGGTAGCTTGGGTATGCTGAAACTTTCCAGGGGGTTTCGGTAGGCTCGAAGCTGGCCCCCTCCTTTGCTGGAAACCTCCTCCAGGGGGCTGGGGATGGCTCATAAGATCCCCCCTCAATTTGGAAACTTGACGGCCCTGACCCCGTCCAGGGGGATCCATACAAGGGCGGCTCGTCGCCCCCATTTGTTGGCAACGAGCTTTGCGGGGGTGCGGAATAGTGGCGTTCGTACCCCCCCCTCGCAGCTGCCCAGAATCCAGGAGTGCTGTCGCTTTGGCTAGGTGTGTGCCATGCGGAAGGGCTCGTTTCGAGGTCCAAACCACCGAGGTTGGCTGGCGCGGGGGCACTATAAGAGGGGAGTTGGTCCTCAGAGACACGCTTCCTACTCGCCCATGACCAGAGAGTCGCCGGCATTTTTTCTCTTTCTCCCCTGTTTTAACATTCGAATTTGAAACCCCGCTCGTTCTCGTCATGCACCCGTCAGTCCTTCTTTCATGCTTGCTTTGGTATACAGTTCTCTGCTGGCATGTACTACAGTCAGTTGAAGGAAGAAGAGGGGGTGCTGCTGATGGAACAAAGCGGCCCCTGGAAGAATGCTGCGCGCAAATTTTGGTGCCTGCAGCGCAAATGCTTATGTTAACACTAAGACTTTGTTGCTTGCCGAGCAGTGAAATATAGAAGGCGTTAAGAAACTGGTTTGATTGATCGCTATAACCCGGCAATTCGGATTGGCCATCACTGTTGTGGTAGCCCCAAGATTTGAAATCAATAATCCCTATAACCTGGCAATTCAGATTGGATATCATTGTTGCGGTACAAATGCCGATATCTGCTCAGCTCGACATTGAGCAGAATTCAAGAGTGCATAATTGCAGATTGACAGCACCAAGACAGACAGGACGTAACAACAGGGGGTGCAACGGACTTCTCAAAGACTATGATTAAGTAAAAGCAGACAAAGATGCTCAAAATTCCTTGTTGTCAAATGGCAGAAGCTCGCAATGGCCGTGACCACCAGAAGAGACGGTTACAAGCCATTGTGTGCCAGTGTCTCCTTAAGGGAGGCTACAAAGGAATCTTGAGAGTTTATTCTTTGAAGGATTAAGGAAGAGGAAAATACAAGATTTATTGAAGTGACCGGAAGCAAATTCCTTAGAAAACAATGCAACTTGTTCATTCAGCTCCTCACTTGAAATGCACCTTGAATGAGCAGAGAATATTCTTCTACATACGAGAATGACACAAGGTTGGACTACGTTGACTGCAGCCAAAACCGCGCACTCACCAGCTCTAACAAATCAAGAGAACGAACATTGCTGAGCTAAAACTGCGTAGTTCGAGGAGGACCGTCCATGGCTCAGTCTTTAGGCCGTGTCACATGGTCGATCTCAATCTGCTATTAATCTGCTACATATTACACCCTCTCATCTTGAGCTGCAATTGACGCGACATTCTCCTCGCTCGCAGATGCAGAATAGATGGTACTAAAATTGCTCGAGAACAGCATAACGATGCTCAAGATTCAGAAAAAGGATTACGGTCGGTATTCCTCACCTGCTTGCCTGTGAAAAGTCTCTGATCTGCACTTTGCCAAAGTATCAGAGGGCCCACGCTCCAAGAGAATGCCAAAACTCTCAGGGTTGAGGAACCTGCCACCTTCTCAACAAACAGTATGTCTATGTCTATCAATAGTATCATCCTGCTGCATACAATGGGGAACTTGGAAGCCCACGCTTTTGAGTTCTTGTTCGAGGAAAAGATCTTCTTCATGAAAAGTGTCTGCCACGTCATCTGAATATCGAGCGACGCATTGCATCTAGGACTTCTAGAAGAAAGGGCAGACCAACAATATGGCAACATTGAACAGAGAGGAGGAAGACCAAGATTGCAATCGTGATCACATCGTCACAGAAATTCACAAATTTAAGAATCTCTGCAGGGCGCTGCAGTCGCACTATCCCCACGATCCTCCCCAAATCTGAACTTGGATGCGAGGTCCGAGTCCGATCTGATTTATGCCTAGAGTCAATATAATATGCATGGAATACGATATATGATATCGGACTGCATTTGAAACGTACGTACCACACATGCGATGAACGCGCGCACGATACCTAGTCCAATGGCAATGGGGGGAGAAGTTAGGGTACCGTCATATTGTAGTGGGGGCGGGGTAGGTATTCTGATGGGGGGGGGGGCTAGGGCTTGATCTGCTGAGCTAAGGTGGGAGGGGGGGGAGGGCTTGAGCCCTCTGGCCGGGGAACAGCCCCAGCCCAAATTTTCAGTATGTTCAGGGGCAAAATCCCCCTTTTTTGACCCGGTTTTACCAACTGTAAGGCCCGAGGCTTGGGGCCCTTTGCCTTAGGCTAGGCCGGAGAGAGGGGGGGGGGCTTGAGGCCTTCTGGGAAAGGGGCCTGTAGAATACCTACCCCGCTGCCACTTCAAAATGACGGTACCCTTAGAAACAGGCCCGCATTGTATTCGTGCTAGGTACGGTATACCCGCCTGGCAATATGTACGTCTCGAAACAAAAAGATATCCTTGAGTACTGAAATACGCGCGAGCTGAACCCGCCAACCATAAGGGCTTGCGCTGAACTTCGTATACAGCCCATGTGTGCTTATATGTACGTTTTAAACGTGGTAAAAGCCGACAACATTGTACATATATTGAAGAAAGCTGGGGAATCTATCGATATTTGAACCTGCTGATATTTGTACAAGCCTGCAACCGGGCAATTTGGAAGGTTCGGTACTTGGAAGGTACTCGAGTACCTACGACTTCGCCCGGGCAGCCTGCCCGGTTCGGTGAAAAGAGTACACTCGGTACAGAAACTCTGGTGCCCAGTAACCTCTGTGTAAATTGGTGACACCAAGATGCCCGGTTCGTCGGGAGAAGCTGTGGGTGGTACCGGTACCTAGCAAACCACTGTGCAGTGTGCACAGTGCGCACTGCACACTGCACACTGACAAACAGATCGATGATCGATCGACCATCTTCCGTCATTTGTGCTGATCTCTGACAACGTCTGACACATACTTTCTACCTCTTTACTGGTTTGCCTTATTGCCAGTTTGTGCACGCGCACGCTCGCGCGAAATTGTTCAGGCCTGGTTATGAACCATGACCTTATGATAATCCAGCGGTAACTTGGATTCCGCGGTTCCGGTCTCCTAGCGTGAGTCAGTTATTAGGGCAGCCTCGGCAGCCCCGGAAGGCGGAACCTGATTCCTGAAGGCTGAAACTTGTCCGAAGTTTAAACTCCGAAGTTCTCCGCTGCCAGGTGGACGCCTGCTGAGCAAGAATATGCCTATACTAGATATGATTTGCACGGGCTGTCACTTGCACCTGAGAAATTGCGAATAATTTCTGGCCCTCCAAACTGCTCCAAACTGCTCCAAACTAGTTATGCCATTATGCAAATTACTTTTAAGTTTTCAGCCGGCCTATACCTATGTAAGGCCGTCCGAATTATATTTCCGGTTTCCTGTCCACCCCCTCCGGGGGTGGGTCGGTCGGTCGGAAGAATATGATAAATATTCCTCAGAGAATGGTAAGGGTTATTTTGGCGTATATCAGCGTTACCGCGCTCGTTTGACGTCCAGAAGGCCTCTTCCGGTATGCACCATGAGTTTTCATCAGCTTTGGTGGTAGACTTGGACTTTCCACCGAGGTACAAACCTTTCAGAGGATCCATGTTGACTGATTGCGGCTTATTGTCAAACCAAAATCTCATTTCTGGACGACAAATATCGGTTTTGACTTCCACAATTTCAGAATATTTTATCAGTCGACTCCGTAATTTCTCAGAATTTGGGTCGGTCGGGGACAGGAAACCGCCAATCAAATTCGGACGGCCTAACATACAGCAAATCACAGTCGACGAAACGGAATCTTGTGATGAATGACGTACCGGATTCCTCAATTTATTGGGGACCAACCTGCTTCAAGTTTGGTGGCAACACTCCAGATTCCAGATTCTAGATGGTGACAGGCTGAGACAGCCGGCCTTAGCTGTGGTACCTCGTCTAGTGTTTCTCACTTCTCCGTCCCAGCCAATCACAATGCGTGTATAGCAAGTTTCCATCAGGACCACAACCTCTAGCAGGTAGGTACCGTAGTAAGATAATGACAAGTCCGATCAAGTATCGGCCTCTAGTTTTACAGATGTCTGCATTGATCGGCATATTGGAATCAGGTGCAGCTACAAGCCAATCCAGCATTGCACATTGCCCGGTTGCATCCTGACATTGACAACTTTCTAGAAGAGGCTGCAGCTGCCGTCTATTTTCAAAGCATTGGGGCTGACATCCTTTTGCCAGAGACACGTACTTGCTTTACGATTCTACGCCACTGGTGGTGATCGATATACTCTCTGGTCAGCTACTTTGGCACATTCGTTTTTACCAACGCCAAGTAAAGCCGCTGTACTCACGACAATGTTTGGTGAGTCGCCGGCCAGACTGCCTGGTTATACCTGTAGTCTCTTCGCTTGTTCTTCATAAGTCAGCTCCTCTTCATTCTGAATTCTAGAAGCGATAAGTTCTTTCTTTCTCTTCTTGATCTTGCTCTCATTGCATTCAAAGCTGTTCCGGCTGCCTTGCCTTGCTTCGGGTCTTCATTTCCTAGGCTGTTAAATTCTGTGCGTGGAGGTTTGCAGCTGCAATCAGCTCCCCGTGTCGGCAGGTTTGTCCTAGCTAGCTTTGGCATCTTGTTTATCTTCTACTGCAGCATAGAGACAACTGGGGTTTTGAGACAAAAAGCGATGGACAACTTTGACGGAGTTATGCAATTCAAAGCAGGGCACCAACGAACAGCCTGTCTAGATCTAGGTTGACTCCAAAGAAAAAACTTACCTACCACTAAAGTCAAAGTGCATCCCCAATCCATTTTCACAACATGGTGACACCCCACTCCTTCTGCAGTCTGCAAACATTCATTTGACCACTGACCAGCTGTAGATGTACAAATCATGAACGTTCCTTCTGAGTACTTTCTGCTTCTTCCCCAATGTTTTGTGACCAGTTTTGAAACAGCCCTCCTCCTGCTCAGGATCAGTGTTCAAAGCCCACTGTCAGTCACACTCGCTCAACATTTACTTGAGTGTACTCTGTACTCAACAGGCGTGATCAAGTTCTGGACACCTAGACCAGTTGTCAAAAGCAACATGTCGACACTGTCCATGAATCTCGTTTGACTCTGTTCCCAGTACGGTCTGCTTCCCTATGCAGGTACAATGGCGCCCCTAACGAAAACCCTCGCTCTAGTTCTTCTGCTTGCTCTTGTAGCCGCCAGCGCCGAAGGGCGCACCATGTAAGTCACCTTGTCTCATCCCACAAGCTCAGGTCTTGTAATTGTCATTCTGTGAGTAACCCTGACACAGAAAGTGGGTCAGCAACTTAACAAGTATAGCTGGAACTGGTTGTTGTCTTTAACAAGCCTCTCATTGAGGTCAAACATTGGCAGAGTCTGACCACCACTGGAAGGTTACGCTTTTCCAATGTCGTAGGTACATCTTTGGGAGCTTAATTACATGACTTACATTGCTGAGGATTAGGAGTGCATGCTTGGACACGTGTGTGACCATGCCAGGATTTACGAGAAAGGGCTCAAGTAAACTCAAGCAATTGTGATCAGGGAACTTTTTTCTGGATATCATGTGAGAAGAACTGTCTGCACCGAGACTCAGCCCTGCAGCTCAGTTTTCGCATCTGAAGAAGGCAAGGACTGATTACTTTATCCTTGTGTTAGACAAGGACCCACTGACTCAAAAGCACCTTCATCATTGATCAATACCTGGCAGCACAGGGGTAGTTTCGAATTGTGCTGCAAGTAGTTGTTTGGACAATTCGATTCAATATGATATCCGTCACTTTTGGAAAAGTTCTAATTGTAAAGATGATCAGCAGAGCAACTTAGTGAGAGCTCCCTTCTCACTAGGAATGTAGCTGAATACTCACAAGGATCCAATCCCTATAAAGCCATACCTGGGGCCGGGGTTAGGGTGGTTGTGGTTTGGAGCGGTTCAGTGTTCTGGTTGGGGCTTCTGGTTAGACCGTTGCACTTCGTTCTTTCAAATCGATGCTAATCTCTTTTGAATCTTAAAAGTTTCGTGGTTATTCTTCGCAGGAGGTCTTTGCTGCAGACCCCAGGCTCGCTGCCGCCGGTTTTCTTGGACGAGATTCACTGGGACAACGCCGCCCTCGATTTTGGTCGGTGAAACTCTGAGCCACTTTCTCTGTGTGTGTCCGAAATGAAACCCTGAACTTGGACGAGAATGGTAAAGTCCGTGCTTGTCTGTCTGATAATATTTGCCTGCGGTTATGTGTCTTCCCTACTACTCCCCAGGCCGCAAGCTGCGACTGGATTTCTTCGCTCATTTGGCCTTTGTTTACTGCATGTTCCCTCCTAACTTTCTAATCTCGGCAACTCCTTCCTCTCCGATCCTTGAATCCTTCAGCTCAATACTGGGTCGTTTCTCATCTACAGAAGCTTTCACAGTCTTAAGCCATTCGTTCTTATCAATCACTTCGCTACACATCCTATCAGATACTCGTCGCAATCTGGGGCCGAAAAAGGTGACTCGGTGGAACGTATCAGGCCCGCGGAATCCAGCTCCCATGCCTGGAGCATATCTCGATATATTCCGAAACCAATTGAAGGCGAACTCCATTTTGTTTCGATTTGAATTTCCGTGCTCCTGCGATACCTTGACCTGCACGCAGGCAAGGCCGTTGAGGTGAAGACATGTGGGGATAAACAGTATGGACCCCAATCCAACCGCGCTTTCGCATGCAAGAAGGCGAACCTGTTCAGTCTTTCCTCGAATCATCCAGAAATGTCCCGTTCTACTCATTTCATGTGAGGGGTTGGCGTTTTCCCGATCCGCATGTATTGCTCTCCTCTCGCTTGCTGGCCCGTAGCCCGCTGATACGTGTCCAAGAAACTTTTGCTTTCTGTCCAAGTCAGCTTCCGAAGCCGTCCGACCCTTGTCCGGACGCAGGTTAAGCGGTCTAGACTTTCGGACCTGCAGGAATAGACATAGGTGCTTGGACTGTGACCCGCGACTACGTGTCCTGAAAAGGTCTGTTTCTTGACCGAGTCAGCTTCCCAATCCGTTCGAATCTTGTCCGAGCGCAGGTGAATCGGTTGGAGGTTAATTTCCGGACCTGCGGGGACTGTTCTCGGTGGCTGACCGTGACTGGCTAAAACCGTACTCAAATAATGTCCGCTTTTCCTCCAAGTCAGTTTTCGAAGTGGTCCGAATTTTGTCCGAACGCAGGCAAAGCGGTCGAGATTTTCCGGTCGGACCTGCGGGGACTGAACTTGGTGGCTGGACCGTGACGCGCTACCTGTCCAGAAAACGTCTGTTTCTAGTTCAAGTAAGCTTCTGAACCTGTCCGAATTTTGTCCGAACGCAGGTGAAGCGGTGGAGATTTGCGGACCTGCGGGGACTGATCTCGATGGTTAGGGCTGGAACGTGACCCGGTATCGAGTGACCAAATAACATCCACTCTTTTTAAGAACTAGCTTCCGAACCCGTCCAAATCTTGTTTGAGCGCAGGTGAAGCAGTGGAGATTTTCGGACCTGCGGGACTGATCTCAGAGGCTGGACCATGACTTGCTGATACTTGTCCAAATAACGTCCGCCTTTTTTCCGACTCACTCTCCGGACTCGTCCGAATCTGGCAACTTCCACAACCGTCCGAATCTTGTCCGAACGCAGGTGAAGCAGTCGAGATTTTTGGACCTGCGGGGACGGATCTCAGTGGCTGGACCGTGACCCGCTACCTGTCCAGAAATGCCGGGGGGAATATCTGCATGAACGCCGACACTTCGCAGCAGAACGCAGGTGTGAAGGGGCCCTGCGGAGTCGGGAACCCGTTCACAATCCCGGCAGGAACTACGATTCCGTCGCAGACGGTGAGAGTATTTACATCCGCCGTCGTGCCTGAGGTTGTGTTTCATTTCGCGCTTCCCGATCGGTAGAGACGTCACGAATGTCACCCCTGGACTTCGCGCTCTTCCACTTCGAAAGAAAATTGCGACTCTGAAGTTTCGTTGGCAAGCCCGCTTTGCTCGACAGTTTCCTCAATATTCTCCAGCGCGAACTCCGTCAAATCGACCAGCCTCGCGAGTCCCGATGTATTTCTGGACATTCGTAAGTTTGATGATTAAAGTCCAAATCGCTCACAAGCTCCTTTATACGTCCAGGTTGCCAACGGCATCGGCTATGGCACCGTCGTCGTGTTGATTCCCAACAACGGCCTCGTAAACGGTGGAGTTGCCGTCGTTCTTGCGAACGCGCAAGCAGTCGTACAGGATTACCTTTTCTTCGGGGCGCCCAGCCCCCTCACTCTAGTTGGCGGCCCTGCAAACGGACAAACTGTGTAAGAATCCGCCCATTTCCTGTTTGGTTTTTTCTCTCTCTCTCGGTTCTGCATCCCTGTTCATGGACAGTGAGCGGAGTTTTTTGCACGTCTCTGGTTTGCGTGTTTGGGTCCCTCTGACGCTGACTTTCCGTTCAGTGGTGGTCCGTCCGCTTATCTCTTTTGCCCGTTTGTCTCACACACACGATATTGGCTTACGTAGAGCGTTTTTTGCGGTTTGCAGTACCAACAACATCGGGAGCGGTGAGAACGGCAACGGCCCGATTGGGAATTCCGTAAGTCATCGCAAGCGCGTCTTCGACAGCGGCTACGGTGTTTGACCTGCAGGTTTGAGAAGCGTCGAGTTACGGCGCCGGAATGAGGAAAGCATGCAATTTGCCCATGGATCGTAAGGCGAGTTTTGCGCTGCATCAGGTTGTTGCAAAAGGTCATAAACCTGTTTCTTACATTCGGTCATTGGACTGGAGGCGCGTCAAGCGCGTCAAGCTTGTTACATTGAACCAATGAATGATCGGGCGAGAGGGACGTTTGGGAAAAAGCTTCTAAGAACAGGGACTGTGGTTCCACATATCTTCTCCTTTTCGAATAACAGCCTTTCTGTAGCGATGCCTCAAGGTCATGCAAGGCTGCGCTGATATCGTGTACATTTTGTTCGACAGTAGACAGCGCTTCTTCACGTAAATCTCCTTTGCAGCGGATAACTTCCCATGATTCTTTCACATTAAGCCGCTTTATTCCGTGCGCGCAGATCCAACGGTTTGGCCCGACGACTTATGATACGACCACGAACGGGGCGCCCAACACCTTCGGCACCGCGTACCAGGCGTACCTCCCGGTTAGCGCTAATCCGGGGGGGATCAGCTCGTCTAACCTGGACGCCAACACCGGGTTAGTCAACTTTCCGGCCGGAACTACTACGGCGGCCGGAACGACTCCCCTGCAGCCTACGTCCTGGAACACTGGCCCGATCGTACTCTCTCCGGGGGGGCTGCCGAGCGCTACCGTGCTAACGAACCTGATCATCGCCTCCGGCAGTGAGTTTTCTCACTGGCCTACGTACGTTTTTGCGGGCCAGAGATGAGCCTAACAGACCCAAAGCATTGGTTTCACGTCGAGCAAGTAGGCCTAAATTGAGTTGGATGAGTTCTTCGTCTACCGTGATCGTATTGTCCACCGCCACCGCGCTGGCGATCTGAGTCTTCGACTCGAGGAGAGTGATGGCAAATTACACTAGGCCAGCAGAAGTAGCAAAGTTCTTGCTGTTAAGATAGGTGATGAGTAAGCCTCAGTTGAACAACGGTCCGATTGGGCTTTCTCAAGGGGGGCTGCCGACTAGTGCCACAGTGCTGGCGAATCTGATCCTTGCATCATCGAGTCAGCATGGTTGTCGCTTTGCCGGTTTTAGGCCTGGGGAGATAGAATAGTTTTGATTGAACACGTTCAAGAGACAGTTTCAGATTCTAAACATGGAATGTTATCCATATTCAGAACAGAAACTAGGTGTCCAGATACGGAGGTAACCACGAGTTGTATGCGTCCATTCCGAAAACATGCTTTGCCGCCCCGAGTGCGGTCCAGAGGAGCATCACAAACGAACTAATGCTGGCTAGGTGGAGCAAAACGCTGCACACTTCGCCTTCCTTGACAGCCAGTTTCAGAGGTGACTCGGCTCTTGTTCAGCATCTCTTTCGCAAACTGTCCATCACCAAAACTTCGTCAATCCAAGCATTTCCGCTCTTCTGTCAAACTTCGGAAAGGGAACCTCAAAGTACCCAACTTCTTCTTCCGTTCGATGCAGTTCCGGCGGGTAGCATCACTCCCGCCCCGACCACTCAGTCTCCGACCACTACTCCCGCCCCGACCACTTTTGCCCCGACCACAACTCCTTCTCCGACCACTCAATCTCCTACAACCACTCCCGCCCCGACCACTCTTCCCCCGGCCACTCCCGGCCCGACCATTCTTCCCCCGGTCACTCCTGCCCCGACTACCTCTGCCCCGATCACTCCGGCACCTACCAGCGGAATCTACTCTTCTCCATCGGCCTCGACGTGCACGGCGCTCGCCCCTGGCCTCCCTAACCGTGAGTCTCAAACCCTGGGTTTACCTTAACCTGCTCCTGAAGCTGCGTGCGGAAACGTTTGTAGGGAAAGCAGCACCTACCAGCGGAATAATTCCTCTCCGTCTGCTTTTACATGCGCGGGGCTCGCCCTTGGGCTGTCCCAACCGTGACTTGTGGACCCCTTATTCACACCATTTATTTTTTCCGTGCTCTCGAAGCTGGATATGCGAAAAACGTATTTAGGAGCAAGCGACGCGATTGCCGATTGGTTTGAAGGAGTTTGCTGCAGAGCCGAAGGATTTTCCGCTTTCATAAATTGATTCTGGGTCCGTCAAGGGATCGATGTATGTCGCCTGTCAGAAGGCAGCGATAAGGAGTTTCTGACCACTTTGATCAGCTTTGACTTGAGCACGTTCAGATTTGTCAAGCTTTAATGAAAGTGGCGTTTCATCAGGCACTTTGCAGCGCACCGATCCGGATCCTGAGAGATGTCAATAACACGGTACAGAAACCTTGACATTTCGACAGACGTGGAATCACGTGGGGTGCGTGCCTTTGGAACTTTGAGCACCCATCCAAAACGGTTCGTTAGCCGCTGAGCAGAGGATAATTGACGTCTCTTGACGTTGCCCGTACACAACCAGAAGGCTCACACTTCAAAAACATTCCGATCACCTCTTCTCAAACAAATCGTCGTGTCTTGACCGTGCCTCGACCCGTTTTTTAACCTCACCCACAGATCTACCGCAGCTTGCTTCAACAACGACGCGTCCAAATGCATGATCATCTGCTGCGCAGGAGTCTGCGCCCCGGGCACTGACTGTCATTCTCTGGACTGTACGGACTCAAGACACGAAACGAGACTGACATCACTCCAATGATATTTCAATGCCCAGAAATGAATATTAGCTGGTCTTCCGCGAGACGCTGAGAACTAGGTTGATTCCAGTTCAATTCCAGGTTTGCTCCAAATCAATTGCATTAAGGCAGATCTAATCTGATCAAACCTGATGAACTAAGAACTGATTCCGATTGCAGCTTGCTTCAACAACGACGGTTCCAAATTCGTCTGCTGCGCCGGGGCCTGCGCCGCGGGCACTCCTGGCGCCGCCCCTGCCTGCGCCGGCGGCCCCACGTCCGCCCCGACCACTGCTGCCCCGACCACTGCCGCCCCGGTGACTCCTGCCCCGACCACTTCTGCCCCGACCCCTGGGCCGACTTTCGCAACCGCCTCGGGCGCGACGTAAGTCGCCACATGTGCAGTTATAACTGCTTGAAACGGCTTCAGTTTTTGCGTTTCATTTATTGTGCGGCGAGCGGTGTATCTGTTCTGGTTACTACGACTCTTGCCCCGACCACCTATGCCCCGACCACTTCTGCCCCGACCCCTGGGCCGACTTTCGCAACCGCCTCGGGCGCGACGTAAGTCGCCACATGTCCAGTTATAACGGCTTAAAACGGCTTCAGTTTTGTTATTTATTGTGCGGCGAGCGCTGTATCTGTTCTGGTTACTACGACTCTCGCCCCGACCACCTCTGCCCCGACCACTTCTGCCCCGACCCCTGGGCCGACTTTCTCGACAGCCTCGGCGCGAAGTAAGTTCCACGTCCGGTATTTCTGCGAGCTTGTAATGGGCGCTGAATTCTCTTTTGTCGGTTCATTTTGACAACAACTCCTGCGCCTACCACTCCTGCCCCAACCAACTCTGCCCCGACCACCTCGAACCCGACCACTTCTGCCTCGGCCCCTGCGCCGACTTTCTCGACGGCGTCAGGTGCTTCGTAAGTCGCCAAGTGTTCAATTTCGGCTTGTATTCTTACGAGATTTTAGCGGGCGCTGCACCTCTTCCATGAGCCCTTCCCCTACAAGCCCAGCGCCCACCATTCTCCCCCCAACAACCGCCGGACCAATCCCGTGCCGATTTTCTTGACAGCCTCAGACGTAACGTGAGCTTCCACTTGTCCAGAAACAGGTGAGATTCCGCTTCCGAAACGTCGCCAGCTGGCATGAAACTTCTGTTTGTAGCCGGGCGCCTCGTAGTTGAGTCACCAATTTTGGCACCGACTTTGAAGTTTGTCGGTCTAAACGATCCAGCGCACGGCACGCAATTTCGTGCCTTTCTTGTTCCAAAGGAACGTGCGAATGCATCAGAGAGCGACCGGTAGAGCCAAGGGCCTGCCGTCCGATCGCCACAGATCACGCGGGGACGTCTTTCTTTTAGGCGTCAATCGATCCACAGGAAGCGTTGGCTTTAAATCAGGAGCCAAACCGGGGCCGGATTGGAGCATCTTGCGTCAATATTGGCATACAAAGCGGAGAGGCCGCTTTGCTGAGTCTAGGAACAGGTCCAAGCGAAGCGTCTTCTTTCTGCACGGAAGGTTCTTGTTCCTTGTGTTTTGGCCCCCGAACCGGTGTTTAGATCCGGTTCCTCCGCCGATTGTCTGGGGGGTGTCTGGGCTGAGATGCTTCCAGTTTGCTTAAGTAGCTGAAGTTAACTAGCTGACAAGCCAATGCTCATAAGACACATCGTGGGCAGACCCTTTACTGCTCTTGATCGTCCTAGGTTAACCGGGGCTTGATCTCCATTTCCGCAACTGCGATGCTTATTCCGTCGCTCAACCGACTCTTTCCTTTCCCTACCGATCGCAGGTGTAACGCCTACTCTGCCAACTCCTACTCGTGTTACAGCAGCGACGGCTTCACTTTCGCGTGCTGCCCAACCCCCTCGTGCGCGCCCGGCGGCGCGGCCGCGTGCGCGGGAGCGCCAACCGCGGTCCCTACCACCGCCGCCCCGGTCCCAACCACCGCTGCCCCGGTCCCTACCACTGCCGCCCCGGTCCCTACCTCCGCGGTCTTCCCCACCGGAAGTGGTAACAATTGCAATCCGGTCGGGCAGTTCCAGTGCTTCAACAACGACGGCAGTCTCTACACGTGTTGCATCGGCCCCCGGAAGTGCGCCCCGGGCACACCCGGGCCGGTCCCCGCGTGCGCTTAGGCCTCACATGCGATTTTGTGTGAATAATCGGGCTCACGTAGCTCGTTAGTGCATGAATAATTGGCCGCTTCGCAGCTCATCAATTCATAATCTGGAGGAGAGAGGAAGTCTGCGGACTAGAAAAAGGGTGCGGATTGACTCATTGTAGTGAAGCGCAGAGATACTTTTACGTGTTGTCCATTCTGATGATTCTTTCGGAGACTAGCTAGACATGCGCGTGCATGCGCTGAGGCGGCCCGAGAAAGCAGTCGGGTTGACTTATCAGTGAAGTTGTTCGAGTGCATTTCTGGTGCACGATTTTTGCAGGCCACGGCATAGCTGGAGTTCTTACTTACTGCTGCTAGCGCTAGGTCCGAACTCGGTGACCTCGCAGATGATTTTGATAGTGCCATATCGCTTTGGCCAATGAGAAGAGCTACGAGCCTCGGAGCTAGAGAGTCGTCGGCCCCGGAACATGGAATACTTGACCCCCAGTATTCTGTATTCCAAGGTTTCAAAAAGGCAGTATTCCGTATTCCAAGGTGCTCGGGTATTCTGTATTCCGTAGAGTCGAGACGCCGGATGTGAGGATTAAAGGACGATTTTGGGCTCTGCATACTTACAGAATAAAGGTGCGTCTCCGCGGCGCATGTAGCAACCATGTAGCAACAATAAAGTGGAAAAGTGAGTTGTCACTTGTAATTAAGGTAGGATCGATCAGGACTTCCAGTGTCGTGTGCAAGTACGTGCTTGCCTGGCAGCGTTTCTTGCAAGATGATCTGAAATGCTTTTGCCATCTCACTGAGTCTGCAAAAGCGGAAATAGGCCCTCGATCGGACTCCCGTTGAAAACAATAAGCAAGCCGGCCTCGCGCTTATGGTTCAGCGCGCTGCCCGGATCCCATGGCTATATCAAAAGCTACATTTGTAGAGCGAAGTTGCATTCGAGTGGAAAGCTACCCTTTCATAATGCCGATTGAGCCACCGTGTGGGAGCTTGGAAAAGACTGATTGCATGGTGACTCATGTGGACGGATTCAATGAGAACTCCAAGCAAGTGGTGATCGAATGCTTCCGCCTCTGCCACTCGTATTATGCACTGCTGGCACGGCCGCATGCGACTGGACACTTCAAAGCTGAGCTACCTGCATCACGATCAGCAATATTCATGCATGCGCCGCTCAGTGTCCGACCGCGTATAATCGAATAATGATCCAATACAGTACGTCGTGATATAGGATTCAATGTTCCGCTTCGACCGACTGTAAGTCTTCTCTCGATCTGGCGCTAGCGAGCACTCGCGAGCTCGCGAGCGAGCCTGCATGTGACGGACACTATATGGCGCGGCAAGGCCATGCCCGCCAGTACATCGCATATGACATGCAGCAGATCATGCACTAATCATTGGATGCCCGGCCCAGCGGCAGCTCGTCAAACCGGCAGCTAGCCGTCATTTCAATTCCAATTGATCCGAGATGCGACGACCAGCATTCGCAAAACACCAGAGCGAAGCGACGCAGAACTGATTAGTTGCGGACCCGATATAATCGAATTCAAGGCATGCAAGCCATACGTCATTGCTAATCGGTTCGTCATGATTCGCTTCCATCGAGTAAACATCAATCTGCATGCCGTCATGCTCTAGGACGACTTGGTTAACGAAACCTGAGAATCAGTGTGGAAGCTAGGGAAAGCCTGCCAGCCGGAACGCAGCGCCATATATGCAAGCTGATTAACCTCTTGACTTGCAGTAAGTCACTTCTTTGCATGGTACAAATCACACGTACAGCGCTTACAGTTTCTTTTAGGGAACGTGGCTAGGGCTACTTGGCTAGTCTCGCTCCCGGGTCCGTATCCAGATTTGCAAAACAAGCGAAACGAGCAGTAACGAGCGGTCTGTAAGTTGGATTCTTCAGTGGCCCGTCGACTGGGCCGAAATACCTTATGAAATGGAAACGCCCTAGCGCGAACTATGCGAAAATTAGTGCGAGATGCTCCTAATTGTCTAGAGAATAATCAACTGACAAGGGCGGCTTGCCCCGCGACCGTATACTTTGACAGAGTGCTCTCCAGCTCGGTGTAAACGGGCTCCCACGTGAGTTCCGCCGCGCGACGCCGCGCCGCTTCACCCATCCGCCGGAGCACCGGAATGGGCGCCCGGTAGGCGTTCCGGAACGCGGCGCTGAGGCTTCCCAAACTCGGCTCAAACCTGCGATTTAGAAAGAAGGATTTAGAAACTGACAGAGCTTGTCGGACTCAGTGATAAGAAGGAAAACACCGATATTTCAAAGACGGGTTGAGAGACTGGAAAAGTGAGATCGACGCAGAAGAAGAAAAGACTGGAAAAAGCTTCAGACGTGTCAAGTTCTCGTGTAGCAGAAAATCTGGGCGGGGCGGTACCGATTCAAAGAAAGGGGTCGGAAGTCACGTAAGAACGGCAAGCGACCTGAAACCAGAATATACTTTCCGACAGTCCGTTGCGAGCCGCCGCCACGAAAGGAGGGGCCCCTCGCTTAAGTCGAAAGTAAATGGACTGAAATTCGCCATCTCACTTGATGGCGACTTCCGAAGAGGACGACTTCAAAGCAGCCAAACGAACCGTGACCCTAGCCTGGTCGAAGTAACCAACAAAGGTCGAGGCCTAACCATCCAGAACCTTTGACAGTGCTGCCTGAAATCTGAACCGCTTGCACCTCTCCCTTGCAGATCCTGCCACTCTAATTAGATGGTCAAAGGCGAGGTTAAGAGCTGACCCAAAACTAGCTGAGACACTCACTGAACCCCTTACGCCAAACAGCCACACGCGCTGAAATAGGAATGACAGGATGACTTTGGAAACAGGTCAAGAAGAAAGGGTTGAAGCACTAACCAAGACGCCGGCACTGCCAACTCCTGTCCGAAGATCATGGTCCCGTTCGCCTCGCACGGCTTCACGTCGCGACACGTGGTCCACTCCGCCTCCACCCAGAACGTGTGGTCATCCTCGCAGATCTCCAATGCGGGGCCGCCACGTGTAATGATAATAGGCAGGGAGTTGGCCATCGCCTCTACGATCGTCAGCCCAAAGCCCTCGTTTCTATACGGGCAGACGTACACGTCCACGGAGCGGTACAATAAGACCATATCCACCCACGTCAGCTCCTGTTTCAGGAACACGATCTCCGGGTATTTGTCGTACTGCGTCTCGAGCGCTTCCATCACGTGGGTCTTGAACTCGTCCCCGTATATGGAGTGCACGATAAGCGATACGTCGTCGTGCGTGGAAAACGTCTCGGCGAATGCGCGGAGAAGGAGGTCAATCCCTTTGCGCGGGAGTGCGCCGCCAATGAACAGGAACTTGAACGACTTGGACTGAAGGGCCTTCGCCATTTCGGGGAGAGCCAAAGCGCCGCCGGAAGCCATTCCGGGGTTGACAGTCTGCAAAATGGATAGAAAACGAGTCAAAATCCATTCTGGGGAGTATGAAATCTTGGACTGAAGGGCCTTTGCCGTTTCGGGTTAATGCCAAAGCGCCGCCGGAAGCCATTCCGGGGTTGACAGTCTGCAGAAACGGATGGGAACTGTCTTGAATATCTGTGTTCTGGGGGCTTTCTGAGACGCTTGGAAGATCCGAAGCGGAAGGTTAGGCTGTTTAGGCGGAGCTGCCGGAAGCCATTCCGAGGTTGACAGTCTGCAGGATAGAGCAGGCAAGGGTAATGTGTTTGTGGATCTGAGTTTTGGACCGTTCTGAGAGGCTTGAGGAATCCGATCTGCAGAAACGTTCGCCGTTTGGCGAAAGCTAGAGCTTTGCCGGCGGCCTATCCATGCATCGTTTATTACGCACCAGCAAAATTGAAAGGGCCAATAGATTTTTGCTGTTCTCCTGCTTTGCAAAGCGTTGGAAGGAGAACCATGATGAATTGAAGTTGAGCTTGTTGAGCCACGTCATCTTCAGCAATTAACCAGATTGCGAGCAAAAGCTGTCGAAGCAAAAAAGGTCCTCAAGATTCAAAGAACGGAGAGCGACTCAACAAAGGACGGAGAGCGACTCAACAAAGGATTGTTAAGGTTACCAGAAAGCTACTAACCTGGATCTTTTGGAAGGAAACGCCGTGCCGCACGACGTTGATCTTGTGCGCCGGAATGCTGTTGGCCCGGTAGCCGACTTCGCAATGCCGGCTAGGAACCCAGAGCGCGTCGACCGAGTTTGCGAACCAGTTGACCCAAGCTTTGGGAATGCCGTAAAATTCCCACGGTTGCTGGTGGATCCAAACAATCTGCGGAAAAGTCAAAGGGAGGTTAACAGTTGGTCACAGGTCCGTTCAAGGTTGGTTACAGAAACCGCACAGTGAGTCTTGGGGGACCCCTTGCTTGCTTTTCAGAATATGAGCAGAGTTGGAACGGAAATGGGAGAAACAAGAGGAATTGGGCGTATTCACACCCTGTTTCTGGCCGCCACCTCAACTAGAAGCGACTCGTTGAGAAAGCAAATATCGGGCGACCCTAAGCTTTGAATTTACCTTGAAGAATTGAAGTGGCTAAGAATTAGGGCGCAATCACACCTTGTCTCCGGCCGCCACTTCGGCTGGAAGCGACATTTTGGAAAACTGAACTTGGGCGACTCATTGCTTTTCACTTGATCTTGTAGAGGTAGGAAATTTTACGATTCAAGCGACCGAAAAATTGGTTAAAGTATTGGCGAGGTAAGAACTAGAGGCGAGATATTGGGGCGTATTCTCACCTTGTTTCCGGCCGCGACCTCAGGTGGAAGCGACTCGTTGAGAAACTCGAACTTGGGCGGCCAATGGTTCCTTTCGCTATGCAAAATAACGGAACCCAAACCAAAAGGAAACGGAAGTAAACGAATGGGGCGTATTCACACCTTGTTTCCGGCCGCCACTGCGGGTAACGACTCGTTGAGAAATTGACACTCTGGCGGCCAGTGGTTCCTTTCGATATGCCTTGAAATGGTATTGAGCTTCAAGTGGAAAATCAGAAGGAAAAGAGGAGCGTATTCTCACCTTGTTTCCGGCCGCCACTTCGGCAGGCAACGACTCGTTGGGGAACTGGAACTTGGGCGGCCAGTGGTTCCGGAATACCGACACAACCGGCGAGTTGGTCTGTTCGGGTTGTTGGATCTGCTTCTTATACGCGGTGTAGATAAGCATGTGGAGAACGCTCCCTGGAGAAGCCGCCTTCTCGTACTGTTCGACTGACACCGTGTCTTCCGAGGGGATGACCTGAAGGGCAGAAATTCAAAATGGTGTCAATTTTGGTGTGTTCGGGTTGTTGGGTCTGCTTTTTATACGCGGTGTAGATAAGCATGTGGAGAACGCTCCCTGGTGAAGCGGCCTTCCTGAAGGGTAAAAGAGGGAAATGGTGTCAATCGAAGTCTGCTCGGCGCCACTGGGTTTGCTTTTCTAGGCGATGTGATTAGACATGTGAACAAACGCTCACGGAAAGTCTATAAATCAGGATTAAAAGGTGCCGGTTTTTAACCAGATGATTTTGGTGACGACAGGTGTGAACTAGCGTCAAGCCGCCGGCAGAGTTTGACTTTGAGCTTCCTTTGCCTTTCTCTCTGGCTTGAAGACCAATCGACGGCGAAGGGGAGTAGAACTAAAGCTTGTGAAAGAGAACCAGAGTCGCGTTCTAAGCTGTCCTACCTCCATCCAAGCCCTTCGTGCTTGCAGAGCGTTGATCGCTCATCAATGCAACCGCAAGTCCATATTCTTCTGTCTACACCCACTGTTGAAAGCTCCTTGTCGCACTTCGCTTCCGAATGACTCTCAAATCGCAACGTTCTCACGTGACGTCATACTTCCCAGTCATTAGTTAAAGGTTCGGCTGTCACTCATCGGTACAAGTTAAGTTCAAACGATCCGATGTCGAACAGAAACCACGCTTCGCCAACTCACCTCCACTTCGATTTCGAAGTCTCCGTTGTACGGGTTCGGCAGCGTCGACCGCCAGTTGTGCCGCAGCTGCTGGCGGATGCTTAACCCGAACCATAACTGGCGGTTAACCATCGCAAACCCGCAATTGTCCAGGATGGGGCCCTCCAAGCGGAATTTCAGGACGGTGTCGGTGTCGCTAGTGTCGTAGTAATCGAACAGAGTTCCCGTCATCATCTCCTCGTCCAACTCAAATGCGTTCAGCCTGAAAGGAGATTTGCCCACGGTCAGGTTAGATGGCTAGGAATGAAACATACTAGAATACGAGTGGAATTGATCGGGGTTCTGATACGCGGTAACGCGAGTGAGGGGCTTCCGTCGCCTTTTGCTGATCCAAGAAGCTGCACTTGTTGCACGTTCGCGTTCCTAAAAACGCTCTGGTCGAACCTCAAGTCACGCTTCTGAACATCGATGAGAAGCAATAACTGCAACGGTAAGCCTCACTAACCAGTCACCTGTACCCAAAAAGTTTTTACTTTTGATACCAAAAGGGTATCCGAAATCAGAGTCCTGAGGAAGTCAAGCGCGTAACATCGCGGCCAACCCCGTTGCGAAACCATAAGGCCGAGCTTTCCCTTCTAGGTCAGCACAAGAAGGATTCTAAAAGCCCATTCACCTGATTCCGAACAACTGCCACGTCTGGCCCTTGACATTCGTGCTGACGGTGTTGTTCCCATCGAGAAGAAGTCTCCTTTTTGCCCAATCCAGCCGATCACAAATAAAATCAGCTACAGACTGCCAATACTCGTTTCTGTAAAGTACGCGGCAAAAACTTACCTGATTCCAAATAGCTGCCACATCTGCCCATTCACATTCGAGCTGAAGGTGTTGTTCCCGTCGAAAAACTACCTCTTTTTCTGCCCAATCCAGCTGACCCACAAACGAAATCTAAATCAGATTGCCGTATATAAGACACTTCAAGGATGTATGTGGAAAAACTTACCTAATTCCAAAGAGCTGCCACGTCTGGCCCTTGACATTCGTGCTGAAAATGTTGTTTCCGTCAAGGAGGCTCATCCGCCATTGGTCTGGGACCAGACTCTTGATATCGTCGTGGAAAAGCTTCTTGCATTCGGTGTCGATGCTAAACCGGTCCCATTGGCACCTGTTGAGCAAGGGTTAGCACTGGGGTTAGTGATCCTTGTTAGAAGAAACCAAAAGAAAACTGGTTCTCGGAGCTCTCGACATTGTTGTGGAAGAGCATCTTGCACCCGGTGTCGGTGCTAAACCGGTCCCACTGGCACCGGTGAACCGAGGGTTATCCACATGGTTACATATGCGGGTTAGGGGGAGCCAAGGGGAGAACATCTTGCTCTCGGTGTCGATGCTAAATGGGACGCATGGTAACTGTTAACCAAGGGTTAGCAACCGGGTAAAGAAAAAGAGGGGCGAACAAAACCCAATTCTTGGTAGGCTCTTGATGTAGACCCCTTACCTGACTGTCTGGCCCAGCAGCCCCAGGGGATGGCTGAACCGGTCGGGTTGGGACAGGGTTACGGTAACCTCCTTGTTCATGTGAACGACCACGGTAACCCACACCTGCAGAAACAGAGTTATGAACCACGTTAGGAACACTCTAAAGCGCTCATGTCTTTCTTTCCTAGCTTCACAGGTGAAAGAACTAAGTCGCCGCTCCTCGCTTTCCTGAAGTTCCCTAAGCCAGATTCGAGTCCACGTTCAGATTCACGTTCAGAAGGAAAGACGTTTGTCGACTGCCTATCAAACAGGGCTAGATAAACCAAATCGCGGTCCTTCGTGGTTTGCAGCCCGGAAAATGTTGCAGAGCGCCGTTAACCGAGCCTTCCCGCGACGTATGTATGACAACCACCGTACTTCAACGCAGGCGAGAAGATTTCTCGTCCGATAACCGAGCAGCAAAAGAGGTTCCCGCCAACCTGCCCCCTCTTCCCGGGCTCTTTCTACTGTGGTGATTCCAACAGTGATGATCTTCACACCAAAAAATACACAACTCAATCACTGGAGAAAGCTTGAGCAAAACCCTCATCGAGATATCTTGTGAAACGGATCTATCACCTGACGTGCGCGCAGCACAAGGCGCTCTCGCCAGCCCGCCCCCTCTTTCCCGGGCTCAGGTTCGATCCGATCGATCTGTACAAATTCGGACAGATCGACGCGGTGGTCCGGATCTGGATCGAACGTCTCTAGGTCCAGACCCATGGTGATGTCAGCAAGGATCCACGTGTAGTGCCAGCGGATGCCGACGCGGGAGAGGAGGTAGCCCGTCTCGGAGCGGGCGGCGATCTTGCCATTAACCTGCGGGTTAAGAAGTGGGTTGATCAGAGATTGTAGATCGACTCTGTAAGCCAAACCGACAGGTGACGTCAGCAAGGATCCACGTGTAGTGCCAGCGGATGCCGACGCGGGAGAGAAGGCAGCCGGTTTCGGAGCGGGCGGCGATCTTGGCGTTAACCTGCGGGGTTAACAAGTGGGTTCGGTCTGAATTGGTGATTTATTTAGCGAAAAGGCATGTTCTGGTGAGCAAGAAACCGTGTGCAATGCCAGCGGCTGTCGACATAGGCTTCGGCAATTTGAGGACTGATGAACGATACCCTTGGATTCTGTACAATAAGTAACACTCGAGAAATCCAGCCAAACTCCACGTGCAGCAAACTCTTGGGAACGAGCTTCGCCCCTGTGGTAACCACTTTTTTGGGAGCCGAAGAGACTACAAAACTCTCAAGAGACACCAAATGCTAAGAATCCTGAAAAGCACAACCCGCAAACGTCTGCGCCTGCAAACCTTTGTCCGAGAACAGGACATAGAGCCCCTGCGCCATGCGCAGGTCTTTCGGAAGAACACCCCCCTCGTAATACTAAGTTCCTTTCGCTAAGAATTCATGCGCTGAAAGAGTTTTCAAGCTCCGTAAGGGGACTAAAGCAACAGAAACATTTCTCAGACCAGATATTCGATAGCCATGAATTTACCTGCAGATCCTTGTCCGAGAACAGGACGTAGACCCCCGGCGCCATGCGGAGATCCTTGGGAAGCACGCCCCCCTCGTATTCCGCCAACTTCTTCTCGCTGAAGAGCGTAAGCCCGTTGAACGTCGTCACCAGATTCTCGGACCAGTGGGCGGAAGACGGGCGGAAACTGTTGACCACGTTGTTCTCGGGGGTGATCGTCGCCAGCTCGGAATCGTCCCTGGAGAGGAGCGGAAGAAGCGGAATGAGCGGAATCGAAGAAGTCTTAGCGTCCAAAGTTAGTCTAAACTTCTCGGACCAGTGGGCGGAAGGGGGGCGGAAACTGTTGACCACGTTGTTCTCGGGGGTGATTGTCGCCAGCTGGGAATCGATCCTCGAAGAAGAGGCAAAGTGCGAAACAAAGCACGGATGTCTCAACTGCATCCAGGATACGAAACACAAACCAGCGCCAGCAGACTAGCTCTTTCAGCGGAGCAGATGAAGCGAGAAACGCACCTGTCGCGGGGGGGGTAAAGGTGCGAGTCGAACGCCGGATCCAGGTAAAAGGGATCGGGCGCCACCGGTAGAAGCAATTCTTCCACATACGCCGCCCCAGGTGTTTGCAACTGCAGTCCCTTTCCCCAAATTTCCGCCGCGTCGATCTCTAACTTCGCCAGCAACGCGTGATACTGTAACGCAACCCGTTCCCAGGTCCAGTTCTTGACGAAGGACTTTGCACGGTTACCGTAACCCTCCCTAACCTCGCGCGACTTGAGCAGTTTCACAAACCCGGCAGCTATTGCGTCGTCGTCCTCGAACGGAACCAAAACGCCGCGGTCGGACGATAAGACCTCAGTCGCGTGGCGATAAGCGGTCGACAAGATCGCGCACCCGTGCGCCATCGCCTCGAGGAGCGCGCCGGATGTGGGAGTGATTTCGTCATACGGCGTCATGTATACGTCACTGCCGTATAAGCGCCGGTCGACCTCCTCGGATTCGACGTACTCGTCCTGCCAGATGATGTGCTGGGCCACCCCGAGCTCCGCCGCATACTGCATAAGGATACGGTTGGGAAGATAAGCTATCAGCAAAAAGAAATGAGCTATAAAGGTTGAAAGCAATAGTGAATCCAAACTCTTCTTCCTGCCAGATAATGTTCTAAGCAACGCCGGACTCCACCGCATACTGCACATAAGAGGACGGACGAGACAATAAGCTATGGCGGAACAATTCCTATGATGTGTCCAGAACCCGAAGATATGCTGAACGCTCCTGCCAGGCAACACGAGGCCGAGCCTTAAACTCAAACGTTCGATCAAGGGAATGAACCAGCTTTCTGATGCTTCCTCGACACTCTTGCTTCTTTGAAAGACTGCCTTCATAACTTTGTGACAACCCATCTCAACCCACGACCAGACACGCCGTGACTGAGATCCCGACCTAACAACCTTCGCGTAACCCGTCGACTGACCCACCTGCACACGCTTTCTCAAACAAGTCTTAACAGCTGTCTTAACCCGTTAACTAACCCACCTGCAGATGCTTCTTCATGATATCCTTTTCCTCGTTCGTCCGCGCCTCCCTCCCCTGGATCAGCACAACAATCGGTCGTTCCGGAACCTGCTCGATAATCGCCTTCAGGTTACGGATAACCCGGTCGTAACCCTTGTGGATGTGAATAAGCCCGTTGTTGAAGATGAGCAGGGGGCGGCGGGGGTCATCTTGGGGGAGCGCCAATAAGTTATCGAGCTGTTCCAGCGAGAGCCCCCCCTGACGAGCGTCGGGAAGGGAAACCCCCTCGATGTTGCGGGGAATCTCTGCGAGCTCCCTGAAAGGCATCGGTGGGGAGCAATTCAATCAAAAGCACTGTGAGGAAAATTCGAGGCTTACATTTTAGGCTTAATATCTGTAGTGAGACACAAGGATAGTTGTGAAGAAGCTGACCACAAAAGAGAGCCCCCTGAGGACATCTCTATCAGATGCTTGAAGGGGCCACACTCCTTGGATTTCAAGACACGCACAGAGCACAGATCACCAGCCGTCTTTTGTTTTGACGACAAATGCGTCAAAACCTCCGAGCATGACAAACCCAGAACGCTAGGACGCCTCTAAACGCGAACGTTTCGTAAAACCACCTGGGTTTGCGAACAGCATGCGGACCGATGAACACCTTGGAGTTGTCCAGAGCCGGGGCTATCGAACGGTCTATTTGCCAACTCAACCGAATAAGTGCGTCAACAACTCCGCGACTTCGCAATGTATAGAGTTCGTGAACCCACCTGGGTTTGCGCACGGCGTGAGGGATGAAAAACACCTTGGACTTGTCGACGCCGTACGCCGAGACCATCGAGTGGTACGCGTGCCAGCTCATCACGATAAACGCGTCAGAGAAGTAACTCAAGTGGCGCACGAAACCCTTCTCCTCCAGGCAGGGGTAAGCGTAGGGGGAGTGCACGACGATCGACGTGTGCAGATGGGGCATGCCTTCGATGGCGTCGAGAGTGCCGGTCATCCACCTGGGTTAAGAAGTGGGTTTAGGTTAGTCAGGCCTTTGAAAGAGGTCAAGTCCGTGGTTGAATGAAGTGGTTAAGCTAAGCGTAAGGAGAGTGCACGACAATCAACATAGGCAGATGCGGCATGCCTTCGATGGCGTCGAGAGTGCCGGTCATCCACCTGGGTTAAGAGAGGTTATGATAAGTCAATGGACCGGCATGCTTTAGGCATGCCTTGAGAGACATTCAGAGTGCCGGTTGAAAAAAACGGTGGAAACAAACGAATCGAGACCGGGCAAACATGGGCGAAATTAGCAAGGATTAGAAGAGTCTTCAGATCCATTGTAAGTTGCATATTCGAAGATGTTGAGCATATCAGATTTGAGGAGATTCTTGTATGTGCACCAGACCCTTCAAAGCTAAAAATCCAGGCAATGTTGAAAAGGCACACCTCTGTTGGATTTGGGCCGGTCGCAACCCAAAAGCATGACACGCGCTTACAGGAGCCTGATATCGGCATCGCTTCCAACTTCTTAAAACGTCTTTTTTTGCCGACAGACTACCAAGGCCAGAAAAGCGACGAATTGGAGAAGCCCACACATTACATGCTCAGCTGTGGACGTGACACCCTGTCAATATCTTAAAACTGCTAAGTAATCTTGAATGTAAAATCAGTCGAATTCAGCTGAAACCGTCAGGAGCCACAAAATCAAGGAGCTAAAACGGCTGAGATTACACTCAGCCAACCAGGTCTATGCACATCTTTGAACCCCAAAAGGGTCAAACTGACCCTCCTTTAACCACTTTCCCGCAGATCCGACCAAAACCTTGAAAATAAGTTACAATCTGTGGACCCCAAAGGGTTCCATTAGCCCTCACCTGACCAAGTCCAGCGCCTGCCACTTGATCTTGATCAGCCCAAACTCGAGCTGCATCACCATGTGCGTGAACGGGAGATCCTTCTTCGGGATGCTCAGCACGTCGGGGCTCTTGAGATTCTTCACCGTCCGCTTCTGGTGCTCGATCACGTACTGCGAGGCGTTCCAAAACGCGCGGGACGGGACGTCGGCGTCGAGGTTTATGATCCCAAGAACGGTGGACGCATTGTAAGCGGCCGTGGAGTCGGGATCGTCAAAAGCAATGACGGAGTATTCGCAGCGGCGGTCGGCGCCCGTGCGGCGCGAGAACTCGGGACCCATGGAGCGCATCGCATTGATGAAGTTCTCGGCAAACACGCCGATGCCGCACCTGGAGGGGGGAGAAAACCGGTGCAATTTTAGGGGGGGCGAAATGAGTAAAGTTCTGGGGGGGGCGACAAGTGCGGCGCGAGAATTCGGGCCCCATGGAGCGCATCGCGTTGATGAAGTTCTCAACAAACACGCCAATGCCGCACCTGAGGGGGGAAAGAAAACAGCTATAAATTGGAGGGGGGGGGCAAAAAAGTGATGTTTGACGAGGGGAGGAAGGGGAGAATCGTGTTTTCAGGGGGCCGGAGGCATAACTCTCAGGTTCCCATCTCATCCTGACTCAACACTCAGCAGTAAACAGGGGCAGGGACACGCGTCGGGTCGTTATTCAGACCATACAATCAGCTGGCTTTCTTGAAACGGTAGAAAGAAGGCACTTGTGCAAGGGGCATGTGTAAACTGCATATAAGGGGCATTTCTCATGTGAAACCAGTGGGTTACCATTTTAGAAGGCAGACGTAAAGCAGTGACAAGGCCCACCTCCGGGGGGGGGTTGTGTAGTTACCAGGACTGTTATACCTGCCCCCCGCCCACACGCACAGACGCGCATACACAACAGGAACCAAGCAGGTCAAATCACAAAACCAGAGGAACAGGCACTTTGACAAACTTCACCTCCGTGGAGGGTACGTGCTGATGACCATTCCTGGTCCATCCCCCCTAAAACCGAAAATGTGCATACACAAAAAGCAACAAGCACCATCCATGAAAACGTGAAAACGGGAATATTTACGAGCTCACCTCCGTGGGGGGTACGTGCTGATGACCAGGACGTGGCACACTTGCTCCCCCCCCTCTGCGCCGTCGGTCAGGTCCGCCTCAAACGTCCACATCGACGAGAGGATCACGCTCCAGAAGAAGAAGAGGCAGAGAACGGAGGAGATCGCCAGGAAGATTTTCACCGGGCGGCTTGAGAAGAGGGATGGTGCTGTGGGGCCCGCCATCGGGGTCGGGGGGTCTGAGTCGGAACCCAGGTTTGCTGGCGGGTTAGGGACAGGGTTAGGGGGCGGGTTGCTTGGAGTTGAAGGTTTGATTGTTGGACGAGGGGGCCTGCAGAGGGGAGAGTAATAGAATCAGACAGAATGTAGTTCAAGACCAGCAATTAAAGCGATTGTTGAGCTCCAATCGGTTGCCTTGGCCATTAGCAAGGAGCGAAACTATGCCTGAAAGAAGCTAGCCTCCAATGGCGAAGCTTCTGTGAAAGGGGCATCTTAGCAGGAGACTTTAGCAAGGTGCAGAGCAGCAAACAGCCGGGATGTTTCAATCAGTCAATCACAGAGCAGAAGGAACAAAAGTAGCCAGGCTTAACGGAGAGGACGCTTCAAAATGAAGGCTATGCATGCAGGTTAGGACTAAGGGGCAGATGCAGTGAGTGCACAAAAAGGAGGCAAGTACAAAGAAGTAGAGTGTAAGCGACGGGCAATACTAGCAGAAAGACACTGGCTGAAGGGAAAGTTTTTGAAGAGCTTGGTACGAATTGACCTGTGAGGGTGCATAAGCACTCGGTTACCCACAGCAAAGATAAGCAGGAGACACATAATCTTCATGATTGATTGATGGTGGGGCCGCAAGCCCTCATGTCAGTCAGAAGGTGGATCAATCCCATCAATCCCAGAACTTCTGGGCGGGCACAAGATCGAGTGGCGGACTCCCTGAGTGAACGACCTTGATGACTTCTTCAGATTGGGAGTAGTTGTGACTAGCAATCGCGAGCCCCGTTGAGGCCGACGCCAGGGATCCAGCTGTCGACTAAGCAGATGCATCTTGGGGAAGCTCAAAAGTTACTCTTGTTGCCCTATCCAGCTGATTGACCGCAGGCGTTGACAAGTTCGTCTTAGTGGGGGTGAGTGTGACTACAAATCAGTACGCCCAACCGAAGCCCAAACAAACCAATAAGCGGTCAGCTAAGCATATGCATCTGCTCAGAGACAACTGTAGTTGCCGTATCGAGGCATCTAAGTCAAAGAGAGAACTGCAGAGCTCGACAAGTGGCAGCTCATTCTGCACGCATAGTTGACGCTAGATTGCCGCACTCTCCCCCAACAAAAGGTGGCCCCACTTTCAGAGATTCCCACGTCGGGAAAGCGTGATTGGGGGTGTTAATCATAGCTGGCTAGCCCAGGTCAAACAAGGCAGACAGTACCAGGAAATGAGCAATAAGCAAATCTCACATCATAAATCGGACACAGCCCAGACATAAGCAAGCGCCCCAAAGCCACAGCTTTCAGCCAGACATATTGAGTGTTGGAGTAGAGGTAGCTTCATGAAGAAATGTTGCTACCAGAGGATTGTAATGATGATGCAGCGTTTGTCTTCTTGGTGTCACTAGATTTGAGAATATCGTAGAGGAAAAGAGACAGCCGATGACGAAAGTGGAACTGGTCTGTTGAGTGGTGGCAAGTCCAGAGAAGTTCTCAAGAAGCTCACACCGCCCTAGAAACCGCCAAGAAGATTGACGGAAGCAGCGCCTAAGCTCATGTCAGACTCAGCTGAGGGTCACATGGGTCGCAGCCCATATGACATATGTCAGCCCAGCCTTTCACTTTCCTAAAGCCCAAGCCTGGAGAGTTAGTAAGCAACCCGGGTAGCAACATTTGTAATGGTGGTCAAAGGAAAGTGGCTCACACACCAGGATAGACGTGCAAGTGACAGCCGCTCAAGGAAGACAACCACCAACGAAATAAACCCACCTTTTTCTTTTCAGTAGAGGCCAAAACGACAGCAGCCCTTTCTTGGAAACCCTTGAGCGCCGTAGGAGCAGACTGCCCTTTCAAAGTGCTGGCAACCCTTTCGTTTGCCCAACTTTCTCTGCCGGCTCCCCCACAAGTTTACAGACGATGTCTCTGAACGATCTGCACGAAATGCTGTCTAACCGCAGGACTGCGTCCACCTTTTAATCCCTCAGCATTGGCCAATTTGCTTCAGGCTCTTCAAACCCTAAAAGTCGTGGGACACTAGCATAACTTCTGCCCCGCAAACAAACACAAGGAGTCCTCCATCTTTGACGTGACAAACGCATGAACAGGCAAAGACTCCATGCTTCAGATCTACCCAAAGGCTTCTAAAGAAAGATCGCATGTGCGAGGAGATTCAGAACGGCGCGCAGCGGAACCCGCCATGATGGATCTGTGAGAGGGAGGCGGAGGAGGGGCGCTAAAACGCCGTGCTTGGTATCCGGCACTGCCGCGAATGTTGCCGGCGGCATGCAATCTCCACAACTCCTCTCTAGCGGGACATCCGGGAAAGAACATCTGAGACGAACTTCACAACCCGCTAAGGGACCCATCGACAAGGGTCGTCGGCCCGTGCCGTCCTAAGATTTAGTGCGCCCGAAATTATCTCGTTGGGGCGCCACTTTCTGGAAGCATAGGAAGGTAACCTACAAATCAAAAGTAGGTCCAGCGTTACCCTCCAGCCGAGAGTCAACTGTTGCCAAATCCCGGATTCTTCGCGTTCCGGGAATCCGACTCGACTGATCCATGCACGATCCCCGCGCCGTCGATCTGATGCAGAGCCCAGAGATCGTGCGGACTGTTTGTTTACCGTGCAAGTTCCCCGGGCATAGCGGCCTGCACTACCGAGGCAGTTCTCCGGCCAGCTGTACGTAAGCGCCGGGCTGCTTGTGGCTTCGACGGGGGGCTCCGCCCCCCCGCTCTTCAGCCCCTCCCCAGTTCGGGGCGCCTGGAGGTCTGTCCCGGGAGTACGGAGTCTAGCCCGGCCTATGCAATAGTATATTGATTGTAAACGTGGTCCACATAACATCAATCGGAGCTCGCTTAGCTCAGTTGGTTAGAGCGTGGTGCTAATAACGCCAAGGTCACAGGTTCGACCCCTGTAGTGAGCAGTTTTTTATATATCATCATCTACGTTCTGGCAGGAACTGGTTACCCAGGCAAAAGGAACATCAACGCTGCTGCCTATCTCTTTTGAGCAGCCAGCGCTTTCTGTTCTAGCATTATCATTGGTGTTCTAGCATTGACATTCAGTTGACTATCTCTTTTGCGCAAGGGGTTCCCCACCCCGAGCCGGTGCTTTTATTGCTAGAACAACTCACAGTTGGCAGGAACACATGCAAGAACACCTCTACGAGCAGTTCGCTAGAACACATGCTAGAACACCTCACATGCAGAATCGCTAGAACATATGCTACAACATCTCGTATGCAGAATTGCAGTCTGGTGCGAACCAGCTAATGTTGACTGGTTCGCACCAGCAGTCAACATTTACACGACCTCCCACCTTTTTCTGGTGCACAAGCCTTCTGTTGAGCATTATTATCTTCTAGCATTATTAGCTGGTGTCGTGGCGGAAGTGGAGCGAGTTTCGAGGCTGTCATATTCGGCGCTTCCTGCTGGCGTACACCGTTTCCATACGCCTCATCCTCCTAGAATAAAGCGTTCTTGCGTGCGTTCTCCTCCTGGCATAGCGTGCGTCTTCCTCCTGGCATATGGGCTCTTCCTACTGGCTAGGGCAGACGCTTTTCCTTGGGTGGCACTTCTTTGTCCACATTCGCGACGCCTGCCTGACACTCAACGCTTTCTGGCTCCGCTCTGACCAATTCTGCTGTCAACAGCTCCGCTAACCGAGACGTTGCCCCCCCGATATGCTCGCTGTCAAGAACAAGATGCGATCTACCCACAACATTCGCAAGAACTTTGTACCAAAGAATCAGTCCCGGACAGTCTCGCGCCTCACCATTTCGCTGCAGAAATCGGACAAGGTGATGGAGCCGGTGGAGCTCCGTCTGAAACCGGGACGCCTTGCAACGAGCGCAAGCGGCTCGCCAGCAACGTCCAGGTGGTGAGTCAACCCGTCAACCGTTGTCATCATGAATCAACGTATATTAACGAATGATTCCCATCCGTCGGAACCTCACTTGACCACTTGCAAGTTGGGAAAAGCGTAAGAGAGCAGCACGTCGTGGCTCAGCGTCACATGAATATGTGGCGGCCACCTGATGCCATCCGCTTGAATGAGGTCGTCCTCGGGTGAGGAACTCTGGAAGAGCCGCCCTTGGTGTAGTCAGATTTGAAAGCAGGTCCGTCCTGCCCCCGTCCTGCAAGCCCTTCGATATTCACTATAGCGCCCTCTTCCTCGAAACGGTCAAAAGTTAATCAACCATCACAGCACCGAGCCATCATGACGACGCTCAGCCTTTTTTTCCTCGGCAGGTCTGACCGTGTGTGCGTCCGCAGTCTAGACAAGGGCCGCCACCAGAAGCGCTATCTTTACAAGTAAGCAAGGAGACAGGAATTTATAAGCAAGGCAATTGGTCAAAGATCTGAGAGAAGCACTTCTTTTAATTTCCTGGCACACTACGAAGATGCATCTTTCAACAAGTGAAAGATTGAGTATCTTGGCCTGGCATGAACGGCAGGGGATCTTATACATGCCCCATCAACCTGGTCAGTTGCAGCCTACATTTAGGAACTGCGCAAAAGGCCAATTCTGTGAATTCCAAACCTCTTGAGACTCACCATGAAAAAGAAGACAGGGTGGCGTTCAGAGGGTGATCCATTCTCTGCCACGAAGGGCTTCAGAGCTGCATTTTCAACACTGTGTTTCTGCATGTAGTCGGAGTATTAAGTTCCACATAGATCCCCCAAGCGGCTTGATATGGTCAAATGTGGGACTCGCTTCACGCTTTGAGCTCGGCGTTGAAAGTTGCAGCCGCTTGGTGCCACTGACCACTGAAGGCCATGTTGTCCTGTAGAGTTCCCAACAAAGGAGCTAGACAGATGTTGCTTAGCTTTGTCGTTTGCTACTAAGGTAGAATACATGCTCTTGCTTGTCACGACCGGCAGCGTCTTCCGCATTGTACATTTTACATTGATGAAATGTTCCCCTCTCGCCTCTCCCTGACTTCCTGACATTTCCACAAGCAAGGATGGAGCCTAGCTTGAAAGGTTCACAGAAATCTCCTTCGAGAATCTCGTGGATCAATTCAACTCGAGGGCACCTGACTAGGTCCTACTCCGACTAGTACTACGGTACTATAGTAGTATCAGATTCTTAGTAGGTACTCCTGAGCCTGAGCCTGAGGCTTGAGCGCAGCGGACCGTCCGAGCAGAGATGCCGACCAGCAGTAGCAGGCGTTGATCTGAAGCCTTTTCCTTCATCGGACGTACACGATGCAACGACCAGGCGTGCCCTCTGTTTATGCGGTCGATGGACGCAGTTGTTGACCATCCAACGGCTGCGATCGAAACTAGAACAACCCAGACACAAAGAGCAGGAATGTATCCCAACACTTTTGTTCTAGCAATAGCATTCAATTGACTATCACAGATCGTGGTGTTCTAGCATTGACATTCAATTGACTACCTTTCAAGTTCTGCCATTGGGTTGCCTTCCTTTCCTTACCCCGAGCTCGTACTTTTATTGCTAGAACAACGAGCAGTTCACAGGAACACATGCAAGAACATCTCAACGAGCAGTTCGCTAGAACACATGCTAGAACATCTCATATGCAGAATCGCAGTCCGGTGCAAACCAATTAAGGGCGCAATGCTGAAGCATGGAGGGGAGCGGAAGCTGTGAGAAATCTGTGCGGAACCAGCAGAGGAGGACTTGTGCAGCACCCATTCAGGTGAGGGCAGGACGATATTTTGTTTGTCGCTGCAGGGACACCGGAGTTGACAAATCGTTTGGGCACCGGCAACAAGTGCAGGAGGCTAGCTTTGCTAGAACACTTTGCTAGAACAGCGCTTGCTAGAACTGTGCTTCAGCTGTCAGCTTTGCTAGAATACGTTGCTAGAACAGCGCTTGCTAGAACTGTGCTTCAGCTGTCAGCTTTGCTAGAACACTTTGCTAGAACAGCGCTTGCTAGAACAGCACTCCAGGAAGTTTTAGGCTCATGGAAGTGACTGATTTGCCCAGTGATCATGTGAATCTTCAATGATAGATTCAGAAAAACTATGGGTTGGTGCTGCATGTATCTAAGGTATCGAGCTGCAGCCCTCACCATCTCATGTGCAATTCTTGAGCAGGGACGAATCTGCGGAGAGTGCGAGCTCCTGCAATGCTGGAGCAGCCAAGCAATATCTTTTGCCTCAAACTTTTTCCTTTTTCCATCCTTTTCTACCCCGTCCCTTTCTGTTTTAGCCAGTATAATAGTAGGTGTCTTTCTTACCTTCGTTTCTCTCTTGTGTCCAATGATCAACTTCCACACCATATTAGCGGTACGTCAAACGGGTCTTTGCCGGGCCCCTCTGGCTATGTATGTGGCTTCTAAGATGCTGCAAGTCACCGCCATCTTTTTTACCATAAGTCGGGGGGGCTACCGCCCCCCTGGCCGAACCCCCCCGCTCCTCGTTCGTGCAGTGCGACTTTACGTCGAATTGGACGATAATTAGTTACTCATCATTTGGTCACTCACATGACAACACATCTGTTTCGGAGTCTCATACGACGGGCACGCGAGGAGGCGGTTTTTAGGGAAGCATCTTGCCGGTTGCGTTGTGACCTTCTCGGAAGTAGATGGAAGTGGAGCTCCCTTAGTCTGAGTCCTTGGCATATACCATAATCATTATGATTCAACTTAACCAAGGATCGCATCAATCCAATCGGAAAAAGGAGGCGGCTTCAAGTTATCATCCCTTCCCCTCTTCAAAGATCGGAGCCTGGCGGCATCCGGCACCAGTGTGCGAATTTCGGAAGCCATATTAGTATGTAAGCCCCGGTGTACATGCACGTTTGCATGGTCTGTCCCATATATTTTCGTATATTTGGAAGGCAGTGACTAGATGAGCCTCCAAGCAACCGGCAAAATTAGAAGGATATCAGTCGATGCTTTCTATATGGCATCGCGAAGTTTGCGAGCGGTCACCGATAAATCATTGAGTGTGAGGCAGCTAATGGAACCAAATATCCTTCCATTCCGCTATACATCTTGTTGAGAGCGTGATACCTCCACAGTAAAATGCATCCGATTCCGGGCCATCGATCAATTGGATAACGTATGAACGAACCGTGTCCGCTCTAGGAGGCTCCGAAGTAAGCCATCCTAGTAGTGGGCTTGCGTCGAGCGACCAGCCGCTAATCTGTATTAGCTTTATCGATCGACCGACGTAGTGAAGAGGCTTGACTTAGAAACGGAATAGAAAGTATTGGCGGCGGTTTGGAATTGCTTTCACATCCGACCGGTATGTACACTGAGGTATGCACCGCACTACGGAATTTTCTTGGTTGCGAGGAGAGGGGAAGTAGAGAGGATGCCCCGGGGATGCCCCGATGGCATGCAAGCTTTCGGGCGGCAAGGGCTTCAGGCTGAGAGATCGATTTCTTTAAAGAGATATTGTATTCAAGTTCTCGGAGCAGTAACGAAGTACGGTTAAGTGTGGTCGGTTCGTTGCACAAACTTGGAAGAGGTAACAACCTACGGTCCAGACTACCCAAACCGGCCGCCGCACGGGATATCAGGCTTTTATGACGAGGGCTTCTCTCGAGCCTACTGGAGGAAGGTTTGTGTTTGTATGATAGACTTAATCAAGACTCTCTGGCAGAATCAACGAACTAAATGGTTCATAAAAAAGATGGAGTCTCCAGAACGTCGGCTTTGCCTACACTGGCAAACTTTTCTCGGAGTGAAGGTCCCCTCAATAATATCCTACAAGATCTGACTGGCGCACACAGGGGGTTTTGAATGAGCAGCTGCGAGACGACAAGAATCGAACTTTATCGTGTTAACGTATCTGAGTTCAGAAACACCTCTACTGAGGAAACTCAGACGTCTACTACAGTCCTGTCACATCACGAAGGAGCGATCTAAGTCAAGCCCGAAAGCTTCGTATTGGGCGAGTCAATTCAGCCGGGCCGTCTTTACTACTAGGCCATTCGTCAGAAGCCCAATCACTGATGTGACTAGGTTGACATTGTGTAAGTTCACAAGAGGCGAGCCTTACGAATTCGACAGACTCAGCCAGGGCTTCGCTTGACTTATCTCATGCATTGGCAGACTCTATTTGTATACCGCCGGGCATGGGAAATTGCAAGCGATTCTGAAATTAAGAGTTTATGGATTTACCAAGCTGCCGCAAAGGAACGTTCACTTTGTCCTCTGAAATGGTACGCCCGGCGACAGCGGCACAGACAAAGTTTCCACTTTTGCAAACATTGGGAGCTTCCAGGTCGCGCGTGTGAGCAATCGAGTGATGATTCAAACGGACTCGCCGACTTCCTAATATAAAGGCCCTCATATCTAGATCAGCCTGGAATGAGGGCCTGAGTCGTGAATCAGCGACGAGGTACATGCGCAAAACACGTGTCGATCTTTGATAGGCGTCGACCAAAGAGAAATTCTGGACACCTCAGATGGAAAGCGCCGGCAATAGCGCAGACCGGCTGGGACGAGTAATATATTTAAGCCTGCGCTCAAGGAGTGTCAGGTCGTCGGCCTTTACACGTTGTGACTCTCCAACATTCAATACCTCAGCGGGGGCCGCATCAGGTCTAAACACGAAGTTTGTCCTGGCTGTGGGATCTCATTTCACTGACGCTGCCAGGTTTAGCTTTAAGGTCGCCGCAACAAGCTGATTAGCGCTGCGTCACGTCCATAGATTTCGGCGACCAACTTGGCGACTGGTGAAAAAGCGGTGTAGGTATTCAAACGCCGCCGTTCCAATCGTGCGAAAGGGCACGCGCGCAGCCCAAAAGGGTGCCGAATCTTTGGCGCGCGCCCGTTTGCCCGGATCGAAGACCCACTTGATGGCCCGCTTGGAGCGAATCTTCCCAGAAACTAGGTGTGCCTGCCAAAGGTGCGTCACCAAAGGCGCGTCACCCAGAGAGACTGCGGATGCAGGTGGAACGCCATTCACGGACGGCCACATCTGGAACGGTCAATATCAATGCATAACATTGGACAAGATACAAACTTTAGAGCTGCCAACGGGCTGGTACCGGCTTTGATTCGCAACGCCGACTGTCCGATTGTTCTTTGAGGAGAGTTCTGCCCTCAAGTCTCCGGGTCCAACTTCTCGTAATTCATTCCGTCGGCGGACATTCAGGGAGAGGGAAACCGGATTCCGACGGGGTTGTGAGCGGAAAGGAGTGGCTGGCGGAACCCTGAACCGCCAGGTGTCACGACAGGGCTAGATAAGCGAAAGAGGGAAATCTATGAGCAACTTTGGCGAACGGTCATTTCGTGACATATCTGGCACGATCAGGATGAGAGTCACAGCTTAAACGGGCAGACATCAGTAGGCGTGAGCAGATTCCGTTCTTTTGCAGCGGAATTCTGTCCCCATTCTGTCGCCGCGCCATTGTTTAAAAGAGACCGGAAGTCCCATGCGCGTTCGAGTCCATACGCTGCAGCGAAGACTGATCGCGAGGACTCTGCCGGAGGGGCCGCAAACCATGCATGAGCAGCAAAGGAATCCGTTGTATCTCGGCGGAACTTTGTCTCTGATTGTCACGACGGGCCCGAAGCGGTACGCGGACGGAATCCGTTGGGTTCCAGATCAACAACCCGTTGGGTCCCAGGTTATATCGGCGGGGCGAACGCAGCACGCGAACGGTGGCAGTTCAAAATCAGCGAAAGATTTTGGGACTCATGCTTTTAGGACGGGCCTTGAACGATAAGCACGAACGGTTCCTCTTCGAATCCAGCGCAATTGGCTTCTCGGGCGTCAATCCGGGCCACTGAGCAGGAAAGAGCACGAACGGAGTCCGTGGAACGCAGCGGATCGACATTTGCCGCCAGGTGTCACGACGGGCGAGAAGCACGCGCGAGAAGCACGCGGCACGTGCATAAACGCAATATTACTCGACGGTTGCAGCAGATTCCGACGCAAGGGCAGCTCAACACGAACATGAGAAGCAGAAGAGGGCACGAACGGGCAGCAGTACATTCCGCGGCTCGATCTAGCGGACGTCCGCGGCGGTTCAAGCGGACCTGCAAATCACACTCGCCGTCACCATCGTGGTCATCTGTGCAGCAGCCATCTTTCACGCCGTCCAGATTGTGACACGTGTCGTTAAGTCGGCACTGCCGGGAACGAGGATATCCGTTCATCTCATAAAGGGACGGTGGCTGTGCCAGGACCAAAGGAAAGTCGTTTTCGAGACCGCGGCGCAAAGCGTCTGATATGGGTGATTGGTTAGACTTTCGGTTAGATAGTTGGTTATCTTGGTTAGACTGTTGACTGGACAGTTGGTTGGACCATGTTGGTTAGACTGTTGGCCAGACTGACATCTGGTTAGTCCGTTGACCAATCTGTTGGATAGACTGTCCTTCGAGGCGCTTCTTCGTGTTTGACTTTTAGCCAATTTTCGTACCGAAAGCTTTAAGTCCTACGAGACTCGATTGTTTCGCAACTACTCCAGGAAGCACGAAAGATTGCTTGCCAGGATAGCAGACTTGACGATTGCACCCGACTCACCTGGACCGGGTCCGAGACGGTCGGTAGACCTTTTCATCGGTGCAGATAGGTGGCTGTAGTCTCCTCAGTGCGTTTGGTTTTTCCACGCAGAAAGCTTTTTGATTGAGGGAACTTGACACATGCCAGCCGCATGGTATTATCATTGCTACCGGCCCTGGCATTGGCCTCCAACCGTCATGCAACTTATCATATAGTAAGCCGCCAGCACATGGCAACGGACTTGGCAGAAGGAGTTTCAGGGGCCTAGGATCTACAAATCAGTGAGCCATGCTCCAAAGCTTCATCGACCGTACCCCGTCTAGCCACTCTAAAGTTGTAAAGTAAGCTTTCGATCAAACGTGCTAACAGTATGCATGATGCTTTGCCATGTGCGCGCCAGCGCTTGTTTGCTTCGAGTGTGCATGCTTGTACTGTGCCAGTGCATGCACGTCACAGTGACTTAACTTCCATGCACGTGTCAATCAGCAAAGATATTCTAAATCAGTACTGTTGCAACTCTGGCAGCGCGGCGGCCACTGGCAGCTGATAGGAAGCGGCGGCCAATTCATTGATTAAGTTCAACCTGGATTGGCGTACCGTCACGAAGTTGCCGACGAATTGATCAGGTCACCATTGTGCAAACATATGCCAGCCCTGCCAGGTGACAGGATTCAGGCGGCCGAGTACGGGGCCGGGTACTAATACCCGACAAGCTTGCCGGGTGTACGGCGGCACGGTATACGAGCAAGCCTAGCTGCCAAACTGACAACGTATGGACTATGGTATTAGTAACGGTCTGACCGTGACTGTGATTGAGGCGTTGATCGAAGCGAGTGCAGTACTATAGAGCCCAATGGTCGATCCTGAGTTTCCTTTTTGGAAAGTCGACGCCATGGATGTAACAAGATCTGACCGGCTCTTTTGAAAACAAAATTCCGGCAGGTTGGCTCTTAAGGACGGGGTTACGTGAAGCACTTCAACCTATTCTATGTCAATCGTCTTTTGCTGTCCTATGCTAATGCATACGCAGGCTCAATTTAGTCCAGCTTAAGATCCCAATGATGGGCCGCCGATTAAGAGTCGGAGTACTTCAACTGAAACGGGTAATTAACATAATTAACAACCTCTGCCCAATTTAAGACCTGGACCTGTGACCACAGCACATTGGCATACCATACTACGCAGCCCAGTAACGTACACTAAGAATCAGATCTCGGCCTCTGGTTTCTGCAATAGCTTGGCATACGACTTCAACATGATAGCAACGTACTCTAGGGGCGCGGCCGTCTCGACGACCGCCCGCGCCGTTTCGGTCGCGAGCTTGCCCATCTTCTTCATATGCTCGTCCATTTCGAGCGCCGTCATGATCTTGATTGGCAGGTCTTTAAGGTCTGGCGCATACTGGATGTAGTGCACATCCGGCTTGAAGAATATGTCGCTAAACTCGCGATACGTAGTTTGCTGCTTAAATACGACGGACCCGGTCGAGAGCAACTCGAAGAAGGCCGGACTCCAAGATTCCCCGTCGATGTCGACCAGGTATTTGTACTTGAGCTGATCTTGAAGCGTGACTGTGTGCTCGGCGTAGCCCAGTTCGTTCATTATGAACCAATTCGCCTCTGCACAGACGAAGGGGTGGTGTCAATTGATCTAAATGCGTCAGCTCTGTTTCCATTAACACCACTTATAGTTGGTCGCCTCTGCACAGCCGAACGTGTGTTGCCAATTGGCCTGAATGTTCAGCTCTCTTTCCGTTGACACCACTTCCAGATGGTCGCCTCCACGCACAAAAAAAGGGTGGTGTCAGATGTTCTTCAGGTTATTGATTTGTTTCAAATGGCACCAGTTGCAGTTGATCGTGCAGTGTCGCAGATTGCTTCAGGTCAGTGCGTTCAGATCGTACCACTTCGCCGCTCGAGAGAAGAAAGCTGAAGTTTGAAAGTATGGAAAGGAGCAAAACCTTTCGATGAAGATCTGTACGCAACGAATCTGGTACCCAAAACAAACCGTTCGTGAGGCGCCGTCCATCTCTGTCAGATGGCCCCTCCCATTCCGACGCGTATCTAATTCTCGGTAACTGAAAATCTGAGCGCGTTAGTCCGTTTTCGAATGTGACCGAATCAGGCGAAGAGGCGTGCGCATCTTTCCCAAGTTTGACAGCGTGGCTAGTTACCGATCACAGAACTCGAAAGTAAGGGAAAGAGGCGTCCGCAACTGTCTTTCGCAGATGCCTATAGACATCTAAAATACTTGAACTTATAATCCTCAGGACCCTCTGACGGAAATTCCTTGACGTGATACCCTGGCATAGATCGCTGAACTCTCTGCATCATCATAAAAGCAGCCGAAACGCGTCCGAAATGCGCTTGAAGACACGCTTCACAACAGTCCGCAGCCTTCAACGACCTCCAAAAGCTGCACTGTTGTGCAAACGACACCGATCGACGAGCGGATTTGAGCCGCTACTGCGGTTCAGAGACGCATGTGAGCCTCATCCACCCCTCGGCACCCCTTATCTGCACTCGCATTTGGCATCACATCGTCGGATTGAGAATGCGGATACCGGTTGAGCAGCAAGCATGTCTACAAACACTGTATGAGCGTTTCACTTTCCTGACCAGAACGCACCAACAACTCTTAGGCGTCAGCAGTTTGCGGCTTTTCACTCGTGCCGGCCTCCCCAGGGTCGTGACATGTCCATTCTTTTCCTGAATCCTTTGATACATTAGTTAGCACTTGTGGCTGACGATCACCGCGTTCATGTCTGATCGGAGAGTTTCGAAAACCCGAGCCCAATAATTCGAGAGTGAAAAGCACAACCAGATGTTTTTCCAAGAGAAATGGCCTCACCTGGCGTGCATTGACTGGGATCGCACTGGAGGAACGTCGCGTTCAGGATGTCGGGGTACTCGAGCGAAAGCTTCACCAGCTGCGACCGCGGCTTATCCCGCCAATTCGACGCCTCGTAGAACCCCCCTGAAAGAAACAATTGACGTCAATAAGAAAGACTGGTTACTGTGAGCAGTCAGGACTACCGCTCCTTATCTCGCCCACATGACGCCTCCTGGAATCCTCCTGGAGAATGGGAGTGCCAGTCTAGAAATACTTCTTTTAGAGAGCAATCAGACCATTGTGGGTTATCTTGCCATTTTGACGCCTTTTAAAACCCCCTTGAAAAACCGGAGGGACGATCCCATTGAAAGTTCGAAGCAGTCAGGACTGGGAGGCTTTCAGTCGCCCATAAAGCGCCACGTGAAGGGAAGACACTGCCAGCTTTAGAAAGGCACTTAGCGCGGCTTATCCCGCAAATCTGACGCATCGCCGATGTCCCCTGAAGATGCAGACTGACAGTTTTACAGAAGACTGGTTATAGGAAGCAGTCAGGATCACTGCGGCAGCTCATCCCGTCAATCTGGCCCCTCGTGAACCTCCTAAACGAGTGAGATAACGGTGCTTAGGCAGCCCACACACATGAAGCAGCCTACGTTGAGTTACTTGTAAAACTTTGTTAAAGTAACGGCCTTCACAAAGGCATACTTTTCGCGACGTCGAGGAGAAAATGAAAAGGTTCAGGACGTCGCTGATGCTGGCAATCTGACGGCCCCCAGAGGATGGCTTACGGGGGATGTAAGTAAATGATTGAACCTGACGCCTTTAGCAAACATTCCTCGAATGCAGGACGGACAATTCGGTCCTTGGCACAGAAAGCTAGGCGCAAACAACTTAGGCAAATGCAAGACTCGACAAAGGCCGGATCCATTGAAAAGACGGCGAACCCCTCTTCAAATCGGATGGTTGTTCGTTTCCGAGAGAGCCAAGAGATCAACGCTCGCCGGCAATTCAAGAGAACTGTTTATTCTTTGAAAAAGATGAAATCGGCAAGAAGCCCTACTTTACTCAGGCCCCCACCGAAACAAGACTGTCGTGTCCCTCAAAGTGGGCGTCTGCACCCGCAAGTGCATGTAAGATCGAACCGCTGAGAAACATGACTTGATTGTACCGGACGCCGCTCGTTCGGCTAACTTGTGTCCCGTCACGCTTTGGCGATGCTGCCGGCGCGAGACTTGACGCCCGGTTCAAAGAACAGAAAAAGGAGAACAATTACATAAGCTTCGTACCTGCGACGGCCCCTTGCCAAAGTGCCTGGTCCTGTTTGCTCTCCCACGGATGATCGGCCTCGACGGCGGTCCAGTTCCAGGGGGGGTTCGGACAAGCATCGTCCGAATGCCACGGTCGGGAGAAACACTGTGCCAGAAAGGGGACGGAATTAGAAAATCCTTGAGACTTTGACATGCTAGACGTCCGCAGGAACACGTGCGCGCGGTTCTTGCAACGCAGCGAGAATTGGGCGTAGTACTATTATATGCTTCCTGCAGGTAGTTTGTGCACTCAAGTGCTCCTTACATTGAGCCGCGCCTCTCGCATCGGTCAGATCCTTGCGCTCACTCTCTGCCTGGAAGGCCCGATAGAACCAACACCCGAAACACTGTGTCTGGCGCAACTCAACCGACGAGGCGAAGTCAAGGTGGCAGGATCAAGGCGAAACAAGGTGTCAGCAAGGGAAACGGGTCCAATCTCGCTGAATCGCTCTGATTCGATAGCAGCAACACCGGACTTGATCTGAAAAACCATTGCGTAAGTGATTGTAGAGCTGCTATTAAGCAAGCTTCGTACAGAAACTCTAAGAAAGGTGCAAGCACTGGGGCAAGGGCTTTGCGGAGAGAGAGAGAGTCCCTTGCTGTTGTTGACTTGCATTCGTCTGATTCTCACAGCAAACGGGTTGACTGAAGGCGAAAGGCGATGATCCGGATTGACTTTTGACTAGGAAATTAT